AAGCTGAAAGATTCGCTGCAGGGACCCGCGTATCGAGGACAGAAAACTAGAGCGCTGCTCGCCAAGCTTTATTCACACGGATTGATTGCTACTGCTGATACGTTCGAAAAGTTGTCTAGGGTGAGTTTTTTTTTGTGAAATCTTCAGCCCTTTGCTTTCACGGCTTCGGGATTAACGCTGAAACGTTTAGATCAGCGGCTCTTCTTTTGGACGGCGTATCTACGCGGCCCACGCCCTCTGGGCCATCTACAGGGTATACCAAAGGAGCGCCGATATCGATGAGGCTTTTTCAAAAGTATGATATAAAGTGAAAAAACTACTTTTTGTTTTATTAGGAAACTTACGCGGCGCTCCTGACAATCATTTCCTACCCAGCATTTTCTGTTGAAGGCCCTGAACTTGTCCATGTCACTCGGTAACAATTTTAGAAGGTTTTTAAACTCAATTTTTAGTGAAACAATCACTTCCATGCTCCTCGGCAATTATGGGTGCCGTCGCTTTTTGCGTGATGGCTATAGGACTGTACTGGAAGTAATTTAGCCTCAAAAATCTTAAAAAAGCTTTGTTTTTAGGATCGAACCCGCCTCTACTACAACAAAAGTGAACTTCAACAATTCGAAGATATCGAATGTGAATGGCCACTATTTCTTTGCATGTTGGCATTGGACGTGATGTTTTCGAAGGACAAAACGATGGCTGAGCTTTATTGGTCTCAATTGGAAAAGGTTAACTTATTCTTTTTGTAAAAAAAACTGAATTTAGTGCCTACAAGTCTCTGAAACTGGGCAATCGATTGTCCCCGAGCTATTTGTGGTCGATCGTCAGCATGTATCCGCCGAAAAAGCCCACCGAGGGAGTCAACCACGTTCTGTTGCAGGAGTTGTGTAGGTTTTGAAAAAGTAACCGTTGATTGTGTGTTTCTAGGCCATATCTCTAGGCTCAATCTCTCTACGTGATTGTCAGTCTGCTATATGATGGCTTTTTGGCGCCAGCTGAATTGGATCCATTGAGTCGAAGATTGACAACATATGAGAAACGACCTCCTTGTGAAGTTCAAGTCACAATTTTGGCTGAAAACCAAAATGTTCAACGAGAACTGAAAGCAAATGGAATTATCGTGCAAAGAGTCGATGAAGTCGATCCTGTTTTCATGATTGAGCCGGCGAGCAAACTGGGCGAATTGTTGGAAAAGTAGGTTTTGGAACCGAGATAGCTAATTACTTTATTTGTTATAGAATCGGCGCTTCGAAAAAGCTTGGGCTCAGTGGAAGACCGAGAGATCGTGAAATCGGACTCCTGAGTACTAGTCGACTCTACCAACTTGGCTCGAAATTCGTGGCTTTTACCCCACAGGTTTTATCACTCGGAAAATACAAAAACAATTTTATTCATTTAGTTTATGGACAGCCGTCGATCACATCTGATGTATGATATCCGGATATTGATGGACGAATGGAGCAGCGAATTTCAATACCTCTATGCTTCATGGAATAGTGTTTCTATCAGCGGGCGACCACTCGTTGTACTTGTTATCAATGAAAGCATGTTGACCACGGTATTTTCATACCTAATTCTCTTTGAAAAATAATGTTCTAGGATGGTCTCTCGCCCTATTCAAGCATCTCCCTGAATCGCTTTATGAAATCGACAGTCATTGGAACAATCAAGAAGATCAGTACCGGATATTTGGGCGGCGCTCGAATCGTGATCAGAAATATTGGAGATTTCTTCAGGACAACGGCCGTGTTGAAACTCGAGTTTAGAGGATAATTTTCAAACATAAAAAATGCAAAATCTGTTGTTTTTAGTGTCTCTCGAGCGGAAGATCTGCTGAAAAGAAACGACAGAACGAGTCCATTTCAATCTTCAAACGGAAGTGGATAGAAGAAAGAATGAAATGAATAGCCCAATGTCCGATGGCTCGCCAATGAAAAGCTCGCTAAAAAGAACGGATTCAGTGAAAGATCGAAGAACATATAACCTCATTCATAAAGCCTCGATGAGACATCGTTCGATTGTTTTGGATAGCAATGATTCGGGTAATAAAGCGCTTTCTAAAGTTTTATAACTTTTTTAGATCTTGTCCAACTGAGACTGGCCTTTGCGAACCATCAACAATCGACAAGTATCCATTCGAGCATTGATGGAAGAGATATACTCTAAGGTATCCTTTAAATAACGATTATAAACCTCTTTTTAGGCATGTGAAAGCAGAGATTGGGCATTGACAAGACTAACGGCTGGCCTTTTGAACAAACGACTAGAAGAACTTGGAAAAGCTGTCACGCATCTTCTTGTACGCCAAAAACAAATTACGGTATTGAAGAAATAGAGCTAATAAATACGTGTTTTTAGGTGGGAATGCCGTCAAAACGAGAAGAAGCCATCACTTGCCCCAAAACAAACGAAGAACTGAAGGATATCATGTTCCGAGCCCTCCACGATGACCCTAACTCTTTCACCCTCAGTCAAGAAATTATCGTGGCTCTCGGCTCGATTGTCAGAACTGAACCCAAACTTTTTGTCGAAATGTTCCGTCTAAGAATTGGACTGATCATTCAGGTATTCGGGCAATTCTTTCGTTTAGTCTGTTTTCTAGGTGCTCGCCTCCGAATTGGCACGCCTAAAAGATCTCTCGGCTTCCGATGCCCTCCAAAATCTGTTGACAGTATCCCCGTTCGAGCTCAGAGCAATGCTTTTGATGTTGTTGAGTAGACGACTTCTAGAAGAAGTACCTCTCGATGATGAAGCTGCCGCGAAAGAGACCCGCACAGCTTCAGGAAGCATATTGAGGAGCGAAACCGACGATGGGGCGACGCTTGGGCCTACCACTTATTTTTTCATAATTGCGGTTAGTCGTTTTCTCGTTACTTCTCCGCCCGTTTTTAGATTACGTGTTTGGGCGGAAGTGGGCACTCGACTTCTGATGCTGCTCGCCAAGGTCCATTTTGGGGATTCAAAGGTAAATGTTACCTTAGTGTTGTAGTTTATAGTAGTTTCCTTACCAGGAGTCGTTTTTAATTGGTTTTGGAGTTTCGGGACGATAAATCGGAATTTTTGGCTCTTTCGCATTATCCGGGGGCTAACTTTTTTTCTAAGGTATTTTTAAGCGATAAATAGAGGAAGTTATCCTTGTCTTTTTTGCTATTGCTAAACGTAAAGTTTTGATCAATTTTCAGTCAAAAATGCAAAAATATTGTTTTTTTTTCGACCAAAATGTCACCAAGACTTTTTTCAAGTTTTTGATTGTCATTTTCACCAAAAATATAGTTAAACCTACTAAAATCTATTAAAACATACATTTCTGGGCTTATCGTAAGAAATTTGCCCCCCTGATAATGCGAAAGCACCGTCATTTTTAATTGGTTTCAAGGGAGGCGGGGGCGAGAACACTTTAAACAATTGTGCCCCCCAGGGCATGAAAACGGGGGAAGAGGCCAGCTGGTCTTTCCCGCGGGTCTTTTTCCGCTCCTTTGAGCTCTTGCTCCTTTTTCTGTCTCTCCCCCGTCTCGAGCTCACGATCCGGAATCAATCAAGATCTTTTGCTGCCTTCACTGGGGGCCTCACAGCCAGGCTTTTGCCCCCTTCTGCTTTCATTTTTCGTAGACACCGGGGCCTCACACCGGCCAGCATTCCTCTCGATTTTTCTTTGTTTTAAATTTGCACATCAAGTACAGTAGTTTTTAACCGTTTTTATAGTTATTTTACATATTTTACAGTTTCTGAGCCTTAAATTTTCCATTTTTTAGTTTTTACCTAACCTAGGCCGGAAAATGATTAGCTATTGATTTTTAACGAGATTTTTATCGGCGTATCTGCGCGATTAAAAATGCATTATCTTTGTAAAAATGTATTTGGTATTTTGTTGCTAAAAATTTCAAATTTTTGAAATGTTCTAATATTTTTCAATATTTTGATAGGATAGCTTTCTACCAATGAAAAACTGCTAAAAAAAGGCTATAAATACATACTTTAGTATCACTAGATTAGAATTAAAGTTAACTCCCCCCGCTAACAGGAAAGAACCCGGAAATGGAAATTTTCGGAGGGTATTAGCTTTTTTAAAATTAACACACCTTTAAAAATCATGGGGGAAAAGATGGGGGCGGTGTTTCGTTTAGGGGTCACCTGGCCAGTTGTTCTTTGTTTTTTTTCGGGGGGCAAAAGCCGGGGGGGGGCATTGGCCAGTCTGTTGTCCAAAACTATTCGATCGACCCCCCATTTCCTGGCCCTGCCGGCCCTCTAGCTATTTAACGACCACTTTCGACTACGGTATGTTAGGGGCGAGTTTTAGAACAATTGATCTAACCACTATAATACTTAACTATTTACTACTTACTTTTTAAACTATGGTATTTAGATCAGGATATAGAAAATCGTGTCCCGAAATGGATCTTCGCTCTTTTCGAGTACGATATTGAGGCCAAATTATGGAAAAATCGATTTTGACACGTTTCGGCTACGTTATTTCAGCGGGTTTGAGAAAAACGTTCCCAAAAATCGATTTCTACTTTTTTTTGGCTACGGTATTTGGGTCATATTACAAAATCTGATTTCAACCAGCTTTAGGTTACGGTATTTATCGCAAATTCCAGCAAACGAGGCTTACAAATTTTATTTCGACACTTCTAGTTTACGGTATGACGGTCAGATTTTAGGAATCAGGTTCCAAAAATAGATTTTGCCGGTTTTTAACTACGGTATTTGGGCCGGTTTATAGAAAAACGCTTCTGAAAAAATCTGGCGCCTTTAGCTCCCGGATTTTGGGCAGGTTTATAAAAGACGTTTTTCAAAACTGGTTTTTCCGCTTTTTGGCTACGATACGGCAGTAATTTTACAGGAATTTGCGCCGAAAATTCGATTTACCGCGCCGAAAATACGGTATTTTGGTCAGATTCGAGAGCGTTGCGTGCGCGTCGCGTGCCGCGGTCGGCGTGTAGGCGCTAAGAAATTAGAGGCAAACAAAATTTACGGCTCCCCCTCTCAGAATCAATACGCTGACTGAACCGCGGCCCCTGCAAACCACCCTTGTAAATAGCAAATAAACGGAATGTTCGCTGCGGGCTCTCCACCAGTAAAAATAGTGTGGATATATCGTTAGACTATCAGTTTGGGGGATGGCAAGGGGAGTAGAGCTCATCCTGCTCTGTTTGCCAACCCATTCTCTCGCTCTCACTCTCGCTCTCTCTCTCTCTCTCGACTCGAACGGGGGAGGCGGGTCTCCAGCGGCGGGAGGCCCTCTAAAATCCCCAGATTTCCAAGTTTCCACCGGCACTTACCCGCCTCTAAATACCGATAATCGGCCTATTATTATGCCTCCACCCACCGACCCGGAACGGTATTGCATTACGCTATCAAAATGTCGATTTTTTAAATTTCTCGATTTTCCATATTGAAAAACCTTAAAATACCATAAAATTGCCTCAAAAATGACTCTAAGATTTTGGTTGCCTTCCATTTTGTAGAATTACGCTATGAAAAACGCCATTTATTATAGAAGCAATTAAAAATAAAACAAAAATATTTCTTTTGGCAGACGAGACCGAATCCTCGGCGAAGCGAGGGAACTCTTGCACCACGCCGACGGCAAATCGTGGCAAGAGCTAGCCGCCGAAAAGGAACGAGAAGACATCTTTGCCGAACCGTGTGTTAAATTCGACTTTAAAAATGATATTTTGTATTTTCTTAGTCTTCCCCTGGAAGAGCTGCTCGAATCGCCGATGTCGTACCCCTTCCGCCTGCCCCGCAGTCGATCGGCCGATTGGTCGTCCAGCACGAGGTATTTTGAGGCTAAAAAGGGGGTTTAAAAAACGGTTAAAAATTTTCAACTGAATTTTTCAAAAAAAAAAATGCAAAAATAACCTCGCGGCCAAGGCACGGGCCGCGCCATGGAGGGACAAGAGCCTCTTTTCCTATCCTGTCCCCGGCTGCCCTCTAGTGCATTGGTAATGCGCTCGCTCCACAACCACACTACCCAGGTTCGGCTCCGCCCGGTGCCAAATTTTTTGCTTTTTGCCCAGAAACCCCCTAACGACGCAACCTTCCCGAATTGACGATTACTGTATTCGACTTTTAATACAGTACCCCTCAACCGCCACTTTTTAGGGAATCCTACCTATCCCGATGGTCGCGCGAAAACACGCCGACCGCCTGTACGGAACGGTACGCGCGTGACGTCCGTCGCAGCTATACCCCCGTCAGGGATATTGCTGATTCCAGAGTAATTTTAATCCAATAGAATTTGGTTCAATAAAATAACTAAATACTAAAATAACTATTAAATTTTCAGGTTATTGAGGACGGCCGGCGGCCGTATTCCTCTTACAGTAAGCGCACGCCGATCGGGTTTATGACGCTCCCCTACCGTACCAGCATCAATTACGCCGAGGTGAGTGTCTGGGGGCTACAAACTACAAATTTTCAACTACAAGCAGGCTACAAAGTGCAAATTGTAGCGCGAAGTACAGGCTACAAACTGCAATATTTATTATTTTAATCCCAGGAAGAGCAGCCCATCCGAAAATACGACGTCTTCCAGGTGCGCTCGTGGAGCTACCCGATTTACAAGTAATTTTTTGGAATTTTTGGGCCCTATTTTGAATTAAATTGAGTACAACCCGAATTTAGGTATTTGAACCACCGCGAGCACAACTATGAACGGCCCTACTCGCTCGCCCGGGCTTACGGTAATTTAAAAAAATAAGGAATTCGATTTTAAGGTAATTTCGAAAATATCTGTTTATTTTTAAAATTTGTAATCTTTTGCAAAGATAAAATTAGTATTTTAAAATCAATTTTGTTGATTTTCAAGGTTACGGATCTAAAAATTTCTTTATTCTTTGTTTAGATGCTAAAACTTCTAAATTTTTTCGAAAAATTTAAACAGAGTTTTTAGTGATTTTGTAAATTTTACACCTTTAAATATTGCTATCTTATTTATTTCATGTTAAAATAAATTTACTTACGTAATTAAGGTACAACCCCCTCGTACACCACCCCAACGATGACCATCGACGCGAAAACACGCATAGATGGCAGAAGAGGCTACAGGTCACCGGGCTACAAACTACAACCTAAAAATCCTACTTTTTAGCGGCTACGCGTTCGTGGGAATGGAGAGCAACTTTGACCTCACCAGCCGCACCAGAAGCCAAACGAACGCCAACTATTGGCGCAGCAATTACGCGTCGTAAGCGGATAGACCGGCCATTTTTTATTGCTATTTAATTGCCACATTTAAATATTTAGAGGGACTATTGAGGTGCCGGAAGGTAATTCTAAGACTTCTCCGGGTTCTACTTTCTATCTCCCGCCTTAAAAATTTAAAATTCCCTTTTCCAACCCCCAATTTAAAAAAGGTTATATTTTTTAAAATTCAAGCTTAAAACTTCAAACGGTTTGTATAGTTTTATGGACAATTTTATTTTGGAAATATAAAACATTTAAAATTCCAATTTTTAAAGGTTGAAAATCGAAAACCCTAAAAATAAATTTTTTGATATGTTGAAATTCCTGACTTCTTTCGAAAACGTTTAGACCTATTTAATTCCGTATACTGACAAACATTTAAGATTTAGGAATAGAAAACATTTATCATCTACAAACTTTACAAATTTTACAAGTTTAAAACATCCTACCTTATATAATTTGGTCGTGTATCTCTGTGTGTGTGTGTGTGTGTGGATGTCACTTTCGAGGCCCGATTTGAAGGCCTTCCAGTGTCCAAAATGCCCTAATTCTCCGTCACCCGGGGGAATCGACCCTCCTCTTTCCGATGGCGTTTTCAGAATCCAGATAAAATACAAGTTTACAAAGTTAAAGCCGGTTTTATTGATTTTTGCGGGTCCGGGAGGGCTAATTGCATAATGTGAAAAAATACAAATTTCCTCATTCTTGCCAGTTGCACTCGCGAGTTTGGTCGTCTCTTTGGATCTGCCTCTCGATGCCTTTCCTTCCCCGGCCCCGGGCAGTCCCCGAAAGGGGTTTTTGGCGCGTGCTGACAAGTATTGCATGGTGTAGTGGTTAGCGTTTCGCCGTGCTAATCTAACCATCGGAGGTTCGATCCTCGGATATCGTAATTGTTTTGCTTTTTGCTCGGAAAGTGCGTTTCGGAGTGGATTTCCGTGTAGGGACGTTATTATGAAGTTAGCCAATCAAACCTGTGCCGCAGCCTATAGAACGAAGCTACCCGCTCAAGCTAGCGCCGCAGGCTTTAGAACGAAGCTAGCCGCTCAAGCTAGCGCCGCAGGCTTTAGAACGAAGCTAGCCGCGCAAGCTAGCGCCGCAGGCTTTAGAACGAAGCTAGCCGCTCAAGCTGGCGCCGCTGGATGAAGCCCTGGCCGATCAAACCTGCGCCGCAGGTCTAATATCGACACTAGCAATTTAAGCTTGCGACGCATGTCATTACAAAGAGGTTTGCATGGGAGATGCGTTTTTCTTTCTTCAGGGTACTTTTATGTGGAAGGGCGCTCGATTCATAGGGCCTAGACGGGGTCCAGCGGGGGAGAGTCGCGAAGCGGCTCCTCCCCCGCTGGTCCAAAAATAAGAAAATAATTTTTACTCGACGAAATAAAACTTCTAAAATTTTTCAAAACACCCTCAATAACCGTTTAATAATTATCACCTCGAAACCCACTTAAAATTTAGCAAATTCATGCATAAAAAAAATTAAAAAAATCAATTCGTTGCAGATCTCCGTGGCTCACTCCTCGCCACCACTACGCCAGTTCTGCACTCCGTCACTTCAGCGCTTATCGACCCCAAAGCTACGCGTCAACCCGATATTTACGATACTAATAAAAAAGTGGGTAATAAAAATAATAATTCAAAACTTTAACTGATATCTTACAAAAAATTTGAAGTTTTTAAAATTTTGAAAATTTTAATAAAATTAAAGTTTTAGGTACTAGTATACTTTGGGGGGGCCAAAAATTTTTTTCAGCCAAAATTTCTCATTTTGCACTATTTTGTTCAGTTTTTCATGCTGAATCGAACGCACATGTTTCCAGATTTTTATTATTGCAACAACATAAGAATTAGGCAACAATAACAATCACTAGCAGGGGTGGTTCTCCTTTACATGCGACCAAAAGTTGAAGAATGGATCGCATGCTTAGGATTAGGCTTAGGCTTAAGCTTTGACCTAGGCTCAGGCTCAGGCTTAGGCTCAGACTTTGGCTCCTGCTTTGGCTTTGGCTGAGGTTAGGCTTAGGCTTATCTACGGCTTGCGCAACGGTATACTACTGAAAAACTATTGAAATTACTTGTAATATAAATAGTTAATTATTACTAGAAAACATGATATAAAAAAATCTGGAAACACTTTCATTGGATTCAGCACGAAAAACTGAACAAAATAATCGAAAATCGGAAATTTTGGTCGAAAAATTTTTTTTGGCCCCCCCAAAGTATACTAGTACCAAGTTTTATATTGGTCTGATTAAATTTTAACTTGTAAATCATTAAAGATAAACTATACAAAAATAAAAATTTAAACTTTTTAGGTGTAGAAATAAGGTTAACTTAAATCTTCGAGATTTTTTAGATTTTAAATAAAACCTTTATTTTATTTAAAATGATTTCTACTTTCTCTATAGTAAACATTAATTTATTACTGAAAAAATCTAAACAAAATGAAGATAAGTTTTCAGAATTTGTAAAATTAAAAATTTTTTTTAAATATGATATACATAATTTAGTTTAATTAAAAATCAATTTAGGCGGTCCACTTTTCTGACGAAAAATCGGCCGAAGACCCGCCACTACAAGCTACAACCACCGCCTCGCGTCTCAGACGAAAAATGCGAATGCACTACCGTAACGGCCAAGCTTCATAGCATATCCTGTCCTGTATTTTTATATTTTCTAACGTAAAATTAAATACGAAAATGACATCGTCTTGCCAGTTTCTCCAGATTCAAAAAAAACTGCCATTTCTGTAGATATTTTGTGATCTTTATGTATTTGTCATAATTGCGTTTTTTTAATGTGTTTTTATAGTGGGTTATGGATGTTGCTAGTAAATTGATTGCTTGGCTTGAAAAATTGGATAAAAATACATACACGAGAGAGAAACTTCGGCTGGTGGGGTAATACTAGGGCACAAAACTCAAGGGTATTCGGTATATTAAAAAATAATTACATTGCTTTTCCATAGAATTTTCGATACTATGATTCTATATTCAAAATTTAATTACCAATTTGGTACTATTGAAGTTGGGGGGGGGGGGGGCAAAATTTTTTTAGGTCATTTTTGGGCTAATTAGTCAGTTTTTCTCTGGCTTGCAAGGAGTCGCTTTTAGGTGCTTTTGGAGTTTCGGGACGGGACCTAGCTAGTTCGATAGAGAAAAAAATTCTGAGCAACATCCCGTTTTCAAAAAGTGCTGATCGATAAAGGTGTTTTAGAAAATTGAATTTAATTAAAAACGTTCCCGGTATCCGGACCCTTGATGTGGTTTGAGGTGATTTGCGGCGGTCGACTGCCCCTGCCACATGGGGACTTCACGCGCACTGGATCCCGTCCTAGGCATAGCCAACTGGCTAGTGCGACGGCCTACGAAGTTTTTTTTACCTTTTGCCACAAGTTCGATTCTTATTTATCGTTAACTTTTTTCTTTTTTGATAATTAAAATTTTATGCGCCGATAACGGGTTCAAGTACCAAAAGCAAACGGTTAGCCAGCGCGAAGATTCGAACCCGAGACAAAAAAAAATGTTAAGAAGTTGGTAGGCAAGCGCGCTACCAATACGCCAATGCAACCTGTGATGTAGGCCTTGGCGGAATGCTATGAATGGCGCCATGCCCACCCCCGACAACGACGTGAACCGAGCAAATGGACCCGAAAACTAGAAAAAAGCCCGAACTTTTAATTAAATTTTCTAAAATTCCTTTATCGATCAGCACTTTTTGAAAATGGTATGGTGTTCAGAATTTTTTTCTCTATCGAACTAGCTAGGTCCCGTCCCGAAACTCCAAAAGCACCTAAAAGCGACTCCTTGTTAGGCTTAGCTTAGCTTAGTATTGGCTTGGCTGAGGCTTAAGCTGAACTTAGGCTAGGCTTAGAACTAGTTTAACCTAGGCTTAGGCCTATGCTTAGCCTAAGCCTTAGTATCTGGTCCTTAGCTTGGCTTCGTCACAGCATCACTGCTTTTGGCTTCGACTTAGCTTTGTTCAAGCTCAATTTAACTCTGCTTCGGCTTAGCTTAGCTTAGGAGATGAGTATTGCGCTGGATTAGCCACGAAAAACTGATCAAGTAGCCTAAAAATGACCGAAAAAATTTTGGCCCCCCAACTTTAATAGTACCACCAATTTTGTAAATTTTTTAGTAAAAAAAACCCCAAAAATCCAGCTGGGGTGCATCCTTTGGCGCGGACCACGCCCCCTTCCCTTGTTATCCCTCTCCCCCCTCCCCTCCCCCGTGCTACCGGTTAGCTCAGCTGGTAGTACGTCTGTGTATTAGTCTAGAGCATGCCACCCATCGTGGGTTCGGTTCCTATTGTATGCAAAGTGCAGTTATTACTTTTGCTTTTTGCTCAAAAATACCTATAATATCATTTTTCAGGCTTGTCAATACTTTTTACATGCTTTTACTCATTCATTTCGAATTCTTAATAACCCATTAAAAATTTATACTTATTCCACCCTTGTTCGGCAATTTTCGACTAAAAAACTTTCGAAAACTGTCAAAACTAATTTCTATTATTGAAAAAACTACTTAAACGGGAATCGAAAAGGAAATCTGCCCTGGAATGGAAGAACCGCACGCGCTAATGCAGACACGGAACCAACAAGAAGCAATTGTCCACTATCAGAGCAAGCTTGAGCATATCTGGATACAATACGGCGTGGCACGTCCTCGACCCGATAATCCACCTAAAAGAAAGAAGCAATTGTTTTCAATTCAATCTTATCCAACGCCTTTTCAGCAGTCAATTTATTCAACAAAACAAAAGTTTTTTTTGCTTAATTTTCAACATTTGTGCGCAACGTCAGGAAGGGAAAAGTGAAAAGGTGAAAATCGACAGGGGGAATGCATGGAACAGTGAGGAAAAGACGAGGATCACAAGCAGTTGTCATGCTCAAGCAATAAATAGGCAAATATTTAAAAAGCGAGAAAGACAAGGGCACTTTTTTGGTTGTGATATTTCGTAGTCACAGATAGTCGATGCATTGAACAGTAGTTGTAGCAGTGAATTGAGGGAGGGCAGGCTAGAGCCGAGACGATACCCGCGGGCTTGTTCTCTAAAAAGATAAAAATAGCTTTAAAAACGGGAATAAAGCTTACCAGCGTGTCTTTATGTAAAAGTGTGGCCGAGAGGTAGGAGGGGTTTCGTTGAGCTGTGGCCGCTGATGGTGGGGGAGGCGCTTCACGATGAATCGGAATTGGACGCCATGTCGGAGGGAAAGCTAGAAAAATTGATACTAGAAATAGCTCTTCTATTTATTTTAAAAAGGCAGAAATTCCTAATGAAAACGCAAGTTTCCGGAAAAGTTCAATCTTAGCAACATTTCAAGCAAAAACTATTCAAAAACCCTCAAAAGAGATTTCAACAATGAGAAATTTTGCTCACAAACTATCTCGTTAGAGAGAAAAATCCATATTTTCATGTTTTATAAGTAAATAATAAAAGTAAGTTACCATTTAACGGAGCATCCACGTATTCCGACTGAACGGCTCGGCGTTGCTGGCGCTTCTTGGCGCGCAGTGAGAGGCGTTGCTGGGGGTTGTTAGAAATGGGAGAACCAGCTGTCCGGGGCTCTTGCTGGCTGTGCCTGAGACGGACGAAACTGTCCAGCGAAATACGGGGCGTCTAAAAAACAGAAAAATAGATTTTTTTGGTAAACCAAATTCATACCTGAATAAATTGGCTGTCCTGAAGGCGGCGGGAGGGGGAAGACGTGGGGTTGTTGTTGATGATGTTGTGCTGTGGCGGGGTCGATTGGTGCTGCGAAATCGGTAGTGGCATAGGGGGATGCGCGGGACCAAGATGCCTGAAAAAACAAACAGAATTGTTATTAGCGTGAAAATACCTGGTTGGGGAATGCAGAATGACGTTGGAAGTCGTGATTTGCGGCGCGGACGGCTGGCGGTTGATTGAGCGGAGCACGCGTCCGGGCGTTGGGTTTAGGAGAAGCGGGTGGGCGCATCCCTCCAATGAAAGCGGCCTGAAAAACGAAGGTTGGCATAGAAATCTATGTTTTGCGATTTTTGAAGTTAGGACTAAATCTGACGCTTCCCAATCGCTTTAAAGGGCCCGGATTTTGACACGTCCGCCGTACGCAACGCACAGTCTCGGCTTTAAAGGAACGGGCAAGCCGATTTGGATTTTCGCACGCACGCGGCACGCTAAGCATACGCCCGGATTTCCCCAGCGTAGCCTAACGTAACCAAGCCAGGCGCGTTGCGCAGAGCGGCGATGAAATCTCTTCCTTTGGGACACACATTTGACACTTCTCGACCCCATTACAGGGACGGGCATGGCTCCGGTGCGGAATTTGTGACGCATGCGGCACTTGACGCAGGCGTCGGGCTTTTCATAGCGCACACTTCAGCCAAAACCGGCATGATAGCCACGCAGCGCGTGCGTTACGTGCCGCGCGGGTACCAAAATTCGTATTTTTTCCAGCTCGGCCCTTTAAAGGACCACCAAAGGTCAAATTTTTGCTCACCTGGACATTTGGTCTTGCTCCAAACGCTCCTCCGCCCGAGTACGCGAACCATGCGTTGAATGCGTCATAGTAGGTGGGTGCCGGTGGTCGATTGCTCGTTGGTGGTGCTGGTTGTCGTTCGCCGCGTCTTGATGGTGCTTCTGATCCCATCGCGGGCTGTTGTGCGGCGTGTTGTGCGCGTGAATAATTCCCCCGGCCGTCTCCCTGGTAGGCGTACGAACTAAAAAGTAGGAAATCAAAAAAATATCGATACTTTTTGATACCTGGAAACTGCGTAATAAGGTGGTGGGGAGGGGCGTTTGGCGTAGTTTCCTTTGGCGGTGTCCGGGACGCCACTCCAGCGATTCGTTTGTTGTGTGGTGGGGGAGGTGGCGCCATAGTCCTGAAAATTACAACATCTTATAGGGAAATTTAGTACTCATTTGGGTAAACCAAATAAATGAAATTTAGTCGTTACCTGAGAGAGATATGGGCGCCAGCGATGTTGCTCATAGTTGCCGGCAATTTGCTCGGGGTAGCTGGGGCCGGGCCGTTGGCGGTGGTCGAATCTCTAAAAACACAAAATATAAACGTTCTTGCTCGTTTTTTAAATCCAAAAAAGGGTTAGGAAAAGCAAGCAGAGCATGCACAACATGCAAAAAGCGGGGGAAGATCGGGCGGGGAAGATTTTTGATCCAATTTCAAAGCCTTCCGATACCTAGCATGCATATAGAACGTCGAGTTGGCCACTTTGAAGCCAGACTTCGTCGGCGAAGTTATTGTTTGGGCTGCAAATTATTAGTCGAGCACTGCAGACATCAGAAATTAGTAAAATTAGGCAACTAAGTGATATCACAAAATATTATAAAACTGAGAATCGTTACAACCGTCACTTCAACCAAATTAGTAGTTACAAGCAAACAAGGAATCGCTCAGTATTTTACCTCAGCAAATACAGGATCGTATTCCGATTGTACTTTGTCCCGGCGGAAATCTCGACGATTTAGCGGAGTGCTTGTGAGTACAGTCTCGTAGTCCTGTCCTGGTTGAGCCAAGAAGTGAGGGTGCGCAGGTTCCTTTTCAGGAGATTGTTCCCGCGATCGAGCCCCGATCCGCAGCCAGCTTTTCATCGTACTAAAACAGGAGATATTAGATCTATGTAGAAATGATGCTACATACCTGCCGATACAATCGCGCCGGGATCCATCGTCTTTGATTGAGACTCGAGCTTTCAAGGAAAGACCAAGCCCCGCAGAGCCAGTATCATTCAGCGGAATGTCGAACGAATACTCCTAAGATTACAAAATTACAATAGAAGGTTATTTATTGTTATACCTTGATATCATTGGAAGTGTTGACTAGGCGGGCTTTGTGAATAGATCTCGGTGCTGGTGGTGTTCCTTCTTCTTTCTTTTCGACGATTTCCACTTCTTTTTCAGCAACTTTTCTATGGCTGCAGTACTTGTCGAGGCCGGGGGTTGATTTTCGTCGTTCGTTGCCGCCAACTAAAAAGCTAATTTGCAGTTTATTGTGAGAACTTACTCTAGATATTTCCAAGGTAACGCTTTCGCCAACAGGCGTTTCCTTCAATCTGCGAACAATATCCGCTTGTTGAAGTTCAACAGTAGGCACGTCATTAACCTTAAAATCGTTAAATACAAGCTGCAGCGCGTTGGCCGGACCTTGATCAGCCTATCACCAGAAAATACCCCTAGAAAACGGCTCCCAGCTTGCAGTTGTCGTTGCAGCCCTTGCAGCGCCCATCTTGATGACATCGGGGCGCACAAATTGGATCTAGGGGGAAATTAGGCCAAAAGCGCAAGAAAATACCTGAGATTTGTAGGCCACGTCGAGCTTCTTCGGGTCGGGCAGTCGGCAGGTGAAGCCGTTGAGGCGGAGGAGCTGGAAACATGCAAAAGTGATAAGGCTCTTCTATTTTTTCACATGAAAGTGTATTTTTCAAGCTTTTTTACAGTTTTTTATGCACGTACCACTGGATTCTTCGGGAAAAACGCCTCGATGCAGCGCTTGAAAAAGCCGTTGTCCGTGATCTCACAGTGCAGTTCCAGCGTCTGCAGGCTGGCCAGCTGACTGGAAAAAAGAAAGGTAAAAGTAGCTCTAAAATACAAACTTCAGTGTGAACGGCAGCGGCTCGATCTTCTTGGTGGCGGGCGATGGATTGAGAAGAGCGAGAGCTTGAGCTCGAGAGCTCCGTCAGAGGCGTCAGTTTCTCTAAAAATTCGAATTTCAGCACGAAATTGTTGTTCATCTACCGAAATTGACGGCAAGGAGGGCGCCGATGGTGTCGACGATGCAGCCGGCAAGCTGCAAGACGCGCAGATTGGTCAGCATGCCGATTTTCGTCAGGTTTCCTCCGGTCGGAGGGCGATCCCGGCCAGGCGCAATTCTTCCAAAGAAGGCGAGAACAGCGCCTAGAAAATGCTCTTGTAATTACCACTCGATATGATGGCTTTAAAAAAGGCCATTCCCTACCACGGCACTTTGCAGCGTCATCTGGCGCTTCAACAGCAGCTTGCCCTTGTCGATGCGCTTCAGAATGCCGAGCGTCTTCAGCTTCGGGAACGTGGTGTTGAACACGGGCGTCCACCATCCCCGAGCAATTCTGGAAATCAAGGATTAAACGAAGAAAGAATGCTAATGATAAAAACCAAAAAAACGTACACGAGAAAGTTGTCGGAGGACAGGTCGAGGTGGCGCAGATAGGGGCGTACAGCACGAGGGCGTTGATCTCCGCCTGGCTGGGTTGATGCTGGATGGAGATCTGAAAAAAACCTAATTATTTCTAGAAAAAAGGAAAAGATAATGAAAACAAAAATTAGTTTTAGTTTAGAAAGCGGCTTCTTGTTTTCAGGGAACAGTTTTTAATAACAAATAAAGTTTTTAAGTGTAGGAATTAGAAAAAAACGGCTTTGAAACACTTTCGCGGTTTATATTTGGAAAATTGAGTTCTTGGAACAGCCTCATACGTTGTTTTACGTTTTTGTCACTGAAATTGGTCAACATTTCGGCCAAATGAAGTGAAATATTCGAAATATTCGGCTTAACTGCCGGGCACTCAAACCGGAAAACTAATGCTTGGCCGACAGATAAGTAGATAAACTTGAAAACTATCGAAAATAAGGAAAAAGGTTGGTAAATGGCTGGCAAACAGTAATTATCGTCCCAGTACAAGCCATCCAGTCAGGCAGACGGACAGATAATTGGCACATCTGGTGGATGAGAATATGAAGCGCGGAGATGGATGGATGAGGATTTCAAGAGGAATGAAGGGGAAGATGAGCTTTTGGCTGGGGCTCAGAAGGGAGCAGCCTGTTTCCTCTCTAATGATAGCTGACACCCAGACGGCGTCTCTAAATGAACCCCTGGATAGCCGCCAATTTCACGCCTCATGGCATCCAATATATCAAAATGGCCGAAATGGCAGCCAGTTTAACAGATAAACGATCATAAAGGCCGATTGAGTAAGATTATACCGAAATACCAAAAGGCGCCACCATAGATGGCAGCCAAGTTGCCCGAAAAATGGGTTCTTTCGCATTATCGGGGGAACCGAATTTTTTTTGTCCAGCATAGAAATGCCTAATAACGTAATAGGAACTATTCTATTAGTGTTTTTAGCAAAATTAACTAAATTCCAGCCAGAAAAACTTTACAAAACCGTGAAAAAGGCGAAATTTTGGCCATAAATCGGCCATCCTGGTCGAGAAATAGATATTTTTGCAGTTTTTAATAAAAAATTGTAAACTTTTTAGGCCTAGCAATTATAAAAAACAGCTTAGAAACACTGCCGCTACTTTAATTTCAAAAATTAGATCGTTAGAAAAGCATCATAAGTCTTTTTTTTACATTTTTTGACCCCGCGATCGGCTAAATTTCGGCCAAACGAAGCTAAATATTGGATTTCTGCCTATGAAAAAGTCAACATAACATAAAAAGCCCTTTGAAAAGGTGAAACTGCAGAATTGAGCACCATCACTCCCTCCGTCCCTCTCCTAACTGGGTGGAATCGTGAAATTCGACCCGTCGACGCGCAAATATTTATCCGACGCCCCACAAACCCCCTTCCAAACCACTTTACTCGCTAAATCGAACGATAGCTAAGTTGGAAAAAGGCAAAAACCATCTAAAAGTTGTCAAAAAACTGAAGTAAAAGTCAAAACGTTAAAAAATACCTTTATTCTTAGTTTTGCAGCTCGTTCAACTCGATTCTCACGATCGGAAGATGTCGTTGAATGCGCAGAAACCGTTCTTCCAGCAACCCTCCCAAGAAATGCGTCGATTTTAGAGGATTCTGTTCAGTTTTTGATTTTTTAGATCCTTTTAACTTTTTTTGATGAAAAGCCCTTTGTCAAAATCATTTCCTAACTAAAACGTCGAGTAGTTCCTTCGAAATACTTTATTTTAACACCGAAAATAACGCTTTTTCGAAAATAAAGTCAATGAAAACGATTCACGAGGCCGTTTGACGCCAAATGACGATCGTTGTTTTATTCCGTCACACTCCGCTGCGGAATTTCGGTGTTCGGCCTGCTAAATTGTACAAATTTCCGGTTTTAAAAAACTTTTTTCGTGTTTTCTATATTTTTCCACTTATGTTTTCTTTTTTCATCTGGCTATATGTGTAATTTAGATCGTGATGTGCGTAGACGAAAATGATGGAGTCCCTTGGGCCACCTTGGAAGAATACTCAATTCCTAGCCCTTTTTCACAAGTATTTGATTTTTGTCTTAGAAAATATAGTTTATTATTTTCAGGAAGAGAGCACGGAAGTTGCTGAGAACGAGAGAATGATCACCGAGCCCGAGCAGCCTTTCGTTGCTGTCTACAATTCCCACCTGCCCGTGGTAATTTTCAGTTTTTAATTTTGGTTCTTTCGCGTTATCGGGGGACCAGCTTTTTTCTAATCAAAATCGCTGACGTGTTTCTAATCAGTTTTACTGATACTAAACGTAATAACTGTACAATTTTGATAAAAAAAAGACAAAATTATCGATTTTTCGATTAAAAAATGGCCGATTTGCCCAAAATATCGATTCTAAGGTTTTCTTAAGTTTTAAGATAGTTTTTCTAGTCGAAATATAGTTAAATTTTGCTAAAAACAAATTGGTTCGCTGTTGTATGTATTTTTGATAAAACTTTGTAAAGTTTTTACCTTAAGAAATATAAAACACAGTCTAGAAACAGTTACGCTATTTAAATTAGTAAATTGGATCCTTAGAAAAAGATTGTTCCCTCCCTACGATAACGCGAAAGCACCTCAACTTAAAATATATATAAATCTCTACAGTGTGTCGAATTGGACGACGAAACGCCATGGGCCTCATCACAGGACTATCAACTTAGCCCCTTCTCGGAGGTATCACTTTTTCCTACTTTTACCTTTTTTAAATGATAGTGTGCGGAATTTTGCGCTAATTCCGATCAGATAAACGCAATTATAAAGCTTGAAGTGTGAAAATTTCGCCAAAATTGTGAATTTTGGCGTTTTTCACAGAGAAACGCGTCATAAAAGCTTCTCCAAAAAAATTAGAAATTAGCGCAAATTTCTGCAAAAGAATTCCATTAAAAATTTCTGCTTGTAAGACAATAATTTCTTTGTTTTCAGGATGAAAATACGGAAGTCGTGGAAAGTGAGAACGAAGAGGAAGATCTCTTGACTGAGAATGCCACCAGCGAGGAGGACCTATTCCCGGACGTCGTTTCTCGCCCGCTTACGGTATTTCTTCTTTTGAAACCTCGAAAAAATATAAATATAGTCAGTCTTGTCTGTGGAAATGGATGACGATGTCCCATGGGCGACAGAAGAAGAATACTGTCAACCCAGCCCATTCTCTGAGGTATCACTTTTTCTTGATTTTTCGCTTTTTTAGTGATGTTGGACAGAATTTTGCGCAGATTCCGATCAGATTAACGCAATCATGAAGCTTTAAAAATGTGAAAATGACGCGAAAATGCTGAATTTTGCAGTTTTTCGCGTAGAAAAGCTTCAAAATAGGTTCGAAGTCAAAGAAAAACTCGGCACAAGGATTCCTTTGAAATTGCTTCCTGTAATACAATTATTTCTTTACTTTTAGGGTGAAGAGGAGGTACAAGTGTCAATCCCCGTCACCCCCGTCGTCACCGAGCCTGTCCTGTCGTCTGATCAAGTCCGCAATCTCCAACAGGTAATTATCATTTTTAAATTTAGGATCTTTCGCATTATCGGGGGAACCAACTTTTTTCCTGGAAGTCATTGTCTATGTCTAGCAGCGTAATAGTTGGTTTTAATAGTGTTTTAGTAAATGTTAACTAGACTTAAACTTAGAAAGCGTCGGAATTTTGGCCGAAACCGGCAATTTTGATCGAAAGGTAGATTTTTAGGTTGTTAATAAAATTTGTAAAGTTTTTACGTTTAAGAATCATAAAAAAAATCTTGAGAAATAGTTCCGGTGTTTATATTTGAAAAATTGGATCCTTAGAAAAAAGTTGGTGCCCAGATAATGCGAAAGAATTCAGTTTTAACTTTATATGATACAAACCTATGCACTTAATCCGGGAATTCTCAATTTTAATTTAAAAATTGAAATCTATAATTTTAGATTGGCCTGTGTGTCGATCTGGATGATGGTGTGCCCTGGGCTACAGAAGAGGACTATGCTCGTCCGGGCCCATTCTCTCAGGTATCACTTTTTCCTGATTTTTGGCTTTTTTTAGTGATGTTGGACAGAATTTTGCGCTGATTGCGATCAGATTAACGCAATCATGAAGCTGAAAAATGTGAAAATGACGCGAAAATGCTGAATTTTGCAGTTTTTCGCGTAGAAAAGCTTCATAACAGCTTTGAAAAAAGATTCGGAATTAATTAAAGATTGAAAAAAGATTAGCAATCAACGGAAAATTCGGTACAGTTATTTTTATTTTTTTTAATATTTATTTTATAATTTATTTTTATAATTTACGTTTAGACGTCTACCGCAAGCGTCATCGAACCATCCATCAATTTGACGATGGATTTCAACAACACTTTCAACCGGGCCGCCGCTGCAGAATAATGATTTTTCTAAGAACGGTTCCAAACTTCTACCTCATGCCCCTGTTTCCTTATGTGAACATGTGTATTAATAATGCTCAACTTTATATCGGCAAAGCTTTACGAAATTCACTTGGCAATGAAATTTTTGTCCGTTGCAATTAATTTTTTGCTTATATTCCCCTCCTTCCGTTTTGGTGTGTCGTTTCGTTTTGGTGAAGAGGAAGAAAGCATGCTTTGAATAAATTTTTTTGTTGTGATACCAGCAGTACAAGCACAGACATGGTATGTAGAACCACCGACTTCAAGGTGTATTAGAACCGGATTCATTTGAAGTACTTCGACATGCCAAGCGTGGAGAATTTACCAAAAGGTAGTCTTACCTAACAACAACTTTTCAATAATTCTAGAGCCTTCTATAACGGCAAATTGGATCTCACCGCCGCTCGGGGTCTGCACAACTTGATCAATTCTGAGACTGCTCGGCAGAGGAGGTAAACTAACCATTCGTTTTACTCATTTTCCTTTAGACATGCTCAGCGCCAGATGGAGGGATCGCGATTTGCAGCATATTCGCGATCAACTCTTGGAAGCTTTCGGCCGGGCCACGCTGATGATCGATTTTGGTGAACACGTGAATACAAGCTTAGAAGACGTAAGGCAGGTGTTAATCTGCTGTAGAAAACAAGAGCTTTTAGAGTTCGGATACGACAATTAATGAAGTCTCTCGATGCACTGATCCGACGTTCCAGAAGTGCCGAGCTTATACATCGAGGACTTAAAATTGTATTGGTCGGCCGGTCGAATTCTGAAAAAAGCAGTTTATTAAACCGACTTGGTGAGCGAAAACACTCTGTTGTTATTTGAACATTTAGTTGAACGAGATGTTCCCTGTGTATCAAACATCCCTGATACGACCCGGGACTCAATTGAGGTCAATTTCGTACGTTCGCCCAGAATTCTTATAGGTTCGTCTACAGATACATGGCGTTTTTGTTGATACAGCAGGGATTCGTGAAAACAACGACCCGATCGAGAAAGAAGGCGTGAAAAGGGCGAGGGAAAAATATGTCATTTACTACTGAATTTCACTTTCATTTAGGCTGAAAGAAGCGGCTGCTGGAGCGGCTGGAAGAAGGAGGTTTTAGGTTCGTGCTGCTCTACGACCGGCATTCACCGATGAGACGCCCTCTGATGTGACGGCAGCAGCTTGCCAAGTCTGTTCCACCTGGATTGGCAGTGGCGTCGCTCGTGACCTGAACGATCTTCGGCGTGTGCATCAACTGCTTGTTTCTTCATTGGGAAAACTGCGACACGGATCAAATAACACGCAATTCTACAGTGACAGCGCATCGCTCCACGCTGATGATTGATTTTGGTGAACACGTGAATATTTTGGTGAACACGTGAATACAAGCTTAGAAGACGTAAGGCGGGTGTTAGTCTGCTGTAGAAAACGAAGACGTTTAGAGTTCGGATACGACAACTAATGAAGTTTCTCGATGCACTGATCCGACGCTTCAGAGAGGACTCCGGCTCTACCGAGGCCTTCAAATTGTGCTTGGCGAATTCTGGCAAAAGCAGTTTATTAAACCGACTTGGTGAGCGAAGAAACTCTTTTGTTATTTGAAAATTTAGTCGAACGAGATGTTGCCATTGTGTCAAACATCCCTGATACGACCCGGGACTCAATTGAGGTCAATTTCATACGTTCGCTTAGAATTCCTTGTAGGTTCGTCTACAGATAAATGGCGCCATGCTGACAGCTACCCTCGTTGATACAGCAGGGATTCGTGACAACAACGACCCGATCGAGAAAGAAGGCGTCAAGGGAGCGAGGGAAAAGTATGTCATTTAACTACTGAATTTCACTTTCATTTAGGCTGAAAGCAGCGGATATCGTCGTAGCTGTGTCTGATGCTCGACAGGACGACATTGTGGTGAGAGCTTCCAATTGGCTTTGAATCCATTTTAGCTTGACGAACCTCTCATCGATCTACAAGAGGCTGTACGGCGCGCCAATCATTGCTGTGAAAAATAAAATGGCAGCTGCTACAAGTCGTCGGAGGTGATTGCGCGGTCAGAATGACCTAGGATGCTTCTAGGAAAAGTGTGCGTGCGGTGACGCGTGAACCTATATACAGGTATCAGCATGGTGCGAACGGCTCGACGACTAGCTGCCGCTCGTCCCCAACCACCATCAACGCTTGCTGTTGCTGTTTAGCGGTTAGTCGTACTTTAGCTACTTCTCCGAAATCCTTAGATACGTGTCTCGATGAAGATGCTGATGATGAGCGATGCTCTTCCGGAAAGGCTAGAAACAAGGAGAGCAAATGAGCGATACCGCAGCTTGTCAATACTATCGGGAAAAACAGGAAGTTCCATTTGGCTACGAGAAGCTGCTCAGGTTGCTTTGAGTTCTAAAAACTAGCTTGTGTTAGGTAGCAATTATATGCGAATAGCAAAAAGCGCTTGGCGAAGCAAAAAACACTATATTTGAATTATGTTTCCAAGAAACAAAAACAGCTAACAAGTTACTAGAAGGCACCTTTGAAAATTGTGGCACGATTGTGCATTTTTTTCTCACTAATAAAAAGTAGGAGGAGGAGGTTGAAGAAACGGATCTAAAAACGGTTAAACCGAAGCTAGAGGCGAGTTTGCAAATTCAAATAAATTAGCATTCACCGGAAGTTCCGGTTATTCCGATTTACTCTAAATCCCCCCGGGCATTTCATTCTCCTCACCCAACGACCCGTCATCCGGTCTACCCGGCCCCCCCTGCCCACATCATCGATGGACCGTAGCGTGAATATTTATGCAAATATGGCTAGATGTAAAGAACTTTAATGTAAATTCAATATTCCAAGATTACTTTTTTAGATTTGGGAGTGGCCGCCTTCGAGACGTGCGACGTGCTGATGACGAGGCGCTGAGGGAGCCGCTGCTGCCTGTCGTTCGGGAAGAGACGTCGCCACTTGTGCCTCTCCCGCATCTTCTACAACGACTACGGCAGTTCGCGACGGTCTAGTTTGAACTTAAATTACGAGATTGAGAACTACGGCAGAACCAGTGAAAAAAGGCGCTGCCGGTGCTAATGCACTTAGGGGGGAGTCCAGCTATTGACTACAAGGAGCTCCAAATGGCGCTTTTTCACCCCGAAGTCTCCGGAAAAGCTACGCTAGGCCTTAGCCTAGGTTTAGCTTCACACAAGCGAAGCTTCAGCCAAACTAAGCTTAGCTCCAAGCTGATTGGGGAGGTATCTAAATTTTCCATCGAAATTTGGCAAGTCAGGTACCCATTCGACGCGCCTGGACGACCGGATTCCAAATATGTAATAAAATCAACGGGAGGGCATAACGACAGAGAGTTATGAGGGTTTTGCCAACCTAGAGTCAGAAAGCGTCCAATTCTGAATTTTGCCCCGAGCTTATTTTAGCGTCACTGAACCTTTTTAGGGGTCACACAATTAAGAAAAACTTATTCCCGAGTTAGGAAATGCAAAAAAGATCTGGAACTGGTCAAAAAGCAAATATCTTAAAAACTTACGAGTTGGAAATATCAGGGGTCTAGAGGGGCTTTGCTCCCCGTTGACCCGATGTTCGGCATTTCCAACGCGTTCTCGCACTGTCGGGCCACAGGAAGTGATGCCCCTGGGCGCCCTCTACCACGACAGGGTTTTTTTTCACTGCCGGGCCTCTACAGGGACTTGATCTCCCCTTGTGGATCCCTCTACATGGCAGATCGTCTACTGTCGGGTTGAACAGGAAGTAATGTCCCTGTCTGCCCTCATCCACGACAGCCCACACAGAGTTGGTATCAACTCTACACCCGCTATTCGGCATTTCCATACGTCGCTCTGAAGCTGTCGGGCCACAGGAAGTGATTTCCCTGTCGGCTCAGGTCTACAGGGACTTCATCTCCCCTGGTAGACCCGTTCGTGCTTCTTTGACGACTACAGGAAGATGTGCTGTTGTCCGCTGCTCCAAGACGATCTGCCCGCCTAGAAGCGCCACGTGTACCCGCAGCCTTCTATCGTGCTCTTCGGCTGATCATTATTGATAGGAAAGTTTTCAGTGAAATAGTTTATAAGAAGTAATTAGTACGTACCTAAATTTTTGTTATTTTCAGCGACGCTTCAATCTGACCGGAAGGCTGATGGCGAGCCGGGGAGCCGGCCACTGCTGCCAGTCGATCGTGCTGCTTCTCGTGCCTCTGAAGGACGACGCGTCAACTCTACTGCCTCTCTCGCCACTTCCGCAACGACTACGGCACTACTCGACGGTTTAGTTTACATATTTTCACGCTCGCATCACTAATTATGTTCATACAATAAATTAAATTAAATTCAATAGTAGTTTTAGTGATACAAATAGCAAAATAAGTGGAAAATCCAAATTGGGATTTTACAAATACAACTTTCGTAACTTTACAAAAGTGTTTTTTTGCTATTTCTCAACGTAAATCGGATTCTCGGTGGCAATACTAAATAACCGCACAACCTAATAAACACCCTGAGTCAACAGGAAGGAATTGTCCACTATCAAAGCAATTTCTCGACATAGCTATGTCGTAACAATACGACGCGTTGCAACTGAATTTGATCATCAAATCATATCCAACGGCTCATTCATCCCCTAATGTCCCTTAATGCTCGTTTTCTTTTTTTTGCTCGAAAATTAGGACAATTTTTACACCAAAACCATTACAAACCAGCGCCCAAAACCCGCTTCGCGGGCCTTGGGCGCTGGAATGCGGCCTTTGCTTAAGAAACTTGACTTTCCGATAGCTCGGGTCCTTCGGACCCCCCTCGCCCCGGCCCACCACACGCGCGCGTGCAACTTGCAAGAATGAAGAAATTTCTATTTTTTCACATTATGCAAATTACCCCCAAAAATGAGTAAAACCGGCTTTAACTTTGTAAACTCGTATTTTATCAAAATTCTGAAAGCGCCGTTGGAAACAGAAGGGTCGATTTCCCCAAGTGACGGAGAATTAGAGCATTTTATGCACGGGAAGGCCCTCAAATCGGGCCTCGAAAGTGACATCCACACACACACACACACACAGTTACACGCCAAAATTATATAAGGTAGGATAAATTTCCGAGATTCCGAAACAATACTATGTCGTAATTTGGAGTCTACCGGAATCCCGTTTCTAAAGTAAATTGTTTACCACAGCCCCTACAGCCTTACTTAAACCTGCAACGAAGTCCAAGTACACTCATTACGGAATTCGTAAACGGATTGTGTCGTATTATCGCTGGGCACAGCGTTCAGAGCCATACGAAAAAGGTTCGTCGAGCGGGGACAGGATGGAGAGGGGGTCTCGGCACTCTCGCCCTCCCTCTGGCTGTCTGCCCCCACCCCCGCGCGTTTGAATCATAAATGGTGTGTACGAAAGATTAGCCCGGCTGTCTGCTATCGCGCGCCCCACCCCTCCCCTGCCTGTCTGCCCTCGCGTCTGCGCTCTAGAGCGCTCTGCATCCTGTACCCAGGGGGGCCCCTTTTCTGAACCATGTGTGGGCGGATTTTCTGGTGCGATTACGTGGGGCAAAAGGGGGCTGGGCTACGGTCATTGGGTCACGGCTTTAGGGTAAAAGGGTTTGGTCGGGTCTGGGGGCTCCGAGAAGGGGCGAAAAATGCTAGTAAAAGTTAGAAATAATTAAAAATCTCTTTAAAACTCGTTTTTCATCAACCTTTTCATGATTTATTTTAGAGAACAAATTATCGCGGATTTTTTGAGCATAAAAACGGCCAATTCGATCCATGAAATCTTCCGTTCTGAAAAAGGCCCGATTTTCGCGCATCAACCTTGAGGATTTACGTGCTGTTTTGCCACATCCGGGGCTGCTAGGGTACCCAAAATAGACTATTTTTTATGCTGATTCTGAAAATGAGCTAGTTTATTACCCATGACTTCAGATTCTCGAGATAAAAGCAAATTTTGGTGAAATTCATCCGGGAAACACCAAAATTTCGGGACCTGGGTAAAAAAGTACGCTGAAAACGATAAAATACAAATGAAAAGTTAACACTTTTATTTTGCTGAGAATTTATTATATGCTCAAATTATTGGCAAACGAGATAGTACGTTATGCTACTCGTTACGTCGCTACGTCATTTGACTTATGTCGTAGCCGGCCTTCGCCCTGGAGCTTCGTTGTTTAGCTGTATGGGGTGTGTTACTTCAAAAATATCAGTTTACCGTACCAAAGCTTCGTTTCTCTCGTGTTTCACTATAATATCTATTATAGGCCGGAAGGGGATGCGAGGACAAGCCGATGACAAGGAGAGCTCGACTTCCGAATTTTCACATTTTTGCGGTTGTACGGTTAGTCGTTTACGAGATACTCCTCCGGCGATTCTTAGGTACCAGCGAATATAAGTGACGTCAGCGTGGCTGAGATGTCTTTGGAGGCGTCAATACGACACTGGCAACATGGTCAAGCTGCGACAATCGTTCAAGCAAGCCTCGATCAAAATCAGAAGGCGATTAATGAAAGTTTTTTCAGGTAGCTAGGTTTTCAAAATTAATTTAGAAACGGCTACGCGATGATACGATTGACGCTGTGACTGAGCCTTGAGAGGCAACGCGCAAGGACAAGGCGACATGAGAGCAAGCCATGATGCCGCCCGACTTCCTCTTCTGCTGCCAATGTTTTCATTTTTGCGGTTAGTCGTTTTACTATATACTTCTCCGCCTCTCTTTTTCAGATATGGGGAGCGATTGACGATAACGACAACAAGGAATGGCTGACGGGGATGGATGGAGACGACATTGGAGCTGGGAAATGGTCGAACGTCTTCGAATCGGTGCAAATTCAAGCAGAAGGGCTTCCATGGAAATTCTAGAGGTACTTTTAGTTTGAAACTGATTTTAGATACGGGCAGCCCGGGTGGGCAACGTGGTGCCAATAGAGGGGAGAGGTGCCTTGTAGACGAGATCAACCGATCGATGGCGCCGACTCCATCTTCTTTTGCCAATGTTTTAATCTTTGCGGTTAGTCGTTTTCCTAGCTACTTCTCCGCCCCGGTTTTTCAGATATGGCATTCGGGCGACGATAACGACAACAAACCCTGGCTGAGGGGATGGATGTGAGACGAGTATCGACTGAGGTGATTGTGAAGGCGAGAATGCGTCACTGACAACCTCAGCAAGCTGTCGCAAACGTTGGAGCCAGCGCCAATCGAATCAGACGACGATCAATGAAAGTTTATTCAGGTAGTTAGATTTTCAGAAAATCCTTTTAGAATGGGCTACGACATTATACGTACGATAGGACATTGACAGCTCTACGAAGACTGCCCCCGTGAAACGCCAAGCGAGGCCGCAGCCTGCTGGCGTAGCGGCCGGCTTACCCTGAAGGAAAGTTTCCATTGAAATAGTTATTATAAAGTCACAGTACGTACCGAAATCCTTATTCTTTTTTCAGCGTCGATAGGCCGCGTTCGGAAGGCTGATAACGACGAGCCGGGGGAGGGTGTTGCTGCTGCTTGTCCTTCGTGATGACGTTCGCGCGAGGAAGAAGCGTCGCCCCCGCTACATCTACGGCCTGTTCTACAATCTTCTCGCCAGCCATCACTCCAAAATGCGCATTATGGTCTATCCTCTTTCGTGGGTAGACATCTGGGCAAGAGTCTGGTTTCCCACCATCCCTTCAGCCGAGATTGCAAATTTTCTACCTGCATTCTTTTTATGATTCGCTATTTTTCTGCTCAAATTTAATATACTCCTTCTTACTAATTAGTCCAAGACGAAGATCTTCGTGTACTTTCGGGCTTCTAGCAAAAAATTTGGGGGTCGGCTGGGGGCGGGAGGTAAACTAAACTCTTGCCCTGATGGCATCGTTGAAGCGCAGTCCGTACGCACCGAGACTGCTACGACTGCTTCAGAAAGGTAAGAACACCCTACGCGAGTTCATAAGCTGGCTTTAGGCCAAGAAAGCAGCTTCAAGCCTGTGGGCCGTGGGACACGGTGCTTCCAACGGGCTGTGGTCAACAAGGCGCAGAATCATGCAAAGATTGGGAATTGATTTCAATAGCTTTGCAAACCGAATAAGCCATAGAATAAGCAAACGCTAGCCAATAAATAATCAAAACAAAGCCGCTTGCAAGACTTCAGGCCCAACCAACTGCGTCTACCTCAAACTCGTCGATCTCCAGCTACTCAAGCTCAGGCCACCCAGCGAATGCGGAATCATGCGATCCTGAACCATTTATTTGCACTCATCAAATTTTACTTCAAACCAATAAATCATTTACTCGCAGTTTTTGAAAAAAACGGAATCAATCTACGTGCTGTACCTTCCTGGGCGTCTACTTCTTGGTTTTGACGTTGTATAAAACGGCTAATATAATAAATTCCATTGGTGCTACATTGTACAGCCGTGAAAAAAATGAAAATACACCCAATACAACACTCTTCGCCAGAAAAAGATTCCCTTTCAAAAAGCTTTTGCACGGAAAGGGTGCTTTGAAATGATTCGTCGCCCCCGCCGCAGCGCCCAAAACAGCCCCACCGCATTGCCAAACAGATGCATAGTCCTTACGCCTTTTGCGCTAGCTATCTGTATTGTTTGATTTACTTATTTTTATTTTCTTTGTTTATTTCGCATTTTTTTATTAGAAAAGGATTCCGAGACAATACTCCTTCCGCCCCCAACTGGCCCTCAATATCGTGGACTTTCATACGGTAGCCGCCTCCCAGCCACGCCTCGAATTTTCCGCCTAAATTTCAATTTCGACTTTTTGACGTTTCACTTTTTTTTCTGTCGCTTCTGCTCGTTGATCTTGTCCCGTTTTAATACTATTTAGCTTTTATAGCATTCTGTTTTGGCGCACCTCTCCTTATCTTCTCCCCAATTCTGCTTTTCTAGGCTCTGCGACATTATTTCTTTCTTCTTCTTCTTTCTTGCTTTATTCGTTTTCTTTTTTCGTTTTATATCTTTCCCTTTCAGCAATGTCCGGCGGATACGAATGCTCGAGCCTGGCGCAGGATGACGTGGTGAGGCTGCTCGCGACCTACACGCACATCGGCACCACGAACGTCGACCACCAAATGGAGCAGTACATCTACGCACGACGCGCTGATGGTCAGTTTTTTTTTGCATTTCTTGGAGGCAGCTGCTTGGAGGGCTACCAAAGTTGGCTCTATGGTTTTTTGCCCGTGTTTTCAATTGCCGTTGCCTTTTTCAATGTTTTTTCCAGGCACCCACATCATCAACTTGAAGCAAACCTGGGAGAAGCTGCTGCTCGCGGCGCGTGCCATCGCAGCCGTCGAGAACCCCGCTGATGTGATCGTCGTCTCGGCCCGTCAATTCGCCCACCGAGCCCTGATGAAGTATGCTGCGCATACAGGAGCCACCCCGGTTTTCGGCCGTTTCGCCCCGGGCGCCCTCACTAATCAAATCCAGAAGAACTTCAAGGAGCCGCGCATTATCATCATCTCCGACCCGCGGATTGACCATCAGGTATTCAAAAAGTTTTTTAGTTTCATAATTGTCTTTGTTAGGTCGTCACGGAAGCTTCATACGCCAACGTGCCGATCATCGCCTTCACCAACTCTGATTCGCCGTTGAAGTTGATCGACATCGCCATTCCGTGCAATAACAAAGTAACTTTTCCTAGAATTTTTTTAGTTTCCTTTTAGGCCGCACAAGCTGTTGGTCTGATGTGGTGGCTGCTCGCTCGCGAGGTGCTCATCCTGCGTGGCAAGGTGTCTCGTGATGGACCGTTCCTGATCGAGAACACGGAAATCATGCCGGATCTCTACTTCTTCCGCGACCCAGCCGATATCGAGAAGGAGCAAGCTGCTGAAGAATTCGAGGCCGGTCAGCAAGAACCCATCATCACCGAGATTCCATTCGACTTCAGCGCTGCCCCGGAGATCAAGGACTGGGCGGCCGAGGTCAACGCCGACAACTGGAATGGCCAGCCGGCCGGTCAAGAATGGGGACAAGCCCCCGCGGTTAACCAATGGTGAACCCGACAAATACCCGTTTTAAATTGTTGTTTTGTGTTGCGAATAAATACTTGTTGCCCTTTTGACTTGCCTTGGAATAAAGACATGGTCTTCAACCATTGCCGTTTCCTTTTACTGGATTTCTCTCCGGTCAGTATCTTTGGTATTTAGCAGGCGTTTTGGAGCTATTGATGTAGGGGGAGGGAGGCATCTTTTTTTTGGGGGCTTAGGCATAGGTTTAGCTTTACCCTGGCGTACGCTGGGCTTCGACTTAGCTTAGGCCTAGGCTTGGTTTTGGCTTAGTCTCTGCCTGCCTAGCCCTAGCTTAGACTAAGCCTAAACCTAGCTTAGGCTTGGCTTTGTTAGCTTCGGATTGGAGACAAGCTTAGACCGGAAAATGCCTCGAAAAAAAAGCTGCACCCCCCAAACATCAATAGCCCTAGAGCTTTTTTTGAGAATTTCATTTTAGACGAAAGAAGATGGCGCCAGCACGCAAGGGCAAGACCAAGGAGGAGCAGCCCGTCGTCGCCCTGGGCCCGCAAGCTCGCGAGGGTGAGAACGTCTTCGGTGTCGCGCACATCTACGCCTCGTTCAACGACACCTTCGTCCACGTCACCGACATTTCCGGTAATTTATTGGATTCGTTCATTGACATTCTGACTTAGGCCGCGAAACGATCGTGCGGGTCACTGGTGGCATGAAAGTCAAGGCCGACCGTGATGAGTCTTCGCCCTACGCTGCCATGCTCGCCGCCCAAGACGTTTCAGAACGCTGCAAACAGGTACTTTTTTTGATGAACGGTATTGCCTTGAACTGGTCTTGCATCTGCGGTTTCAAATGGACCGTGCTCGTGCGTGTTTAGCGATTTTTCGGTGCCTGCATCCGTGTTATACCTTGTTTTTTAGCTCGGCATCAACGCGCTCCACATCAAGATTCGGGCCACCGGCGGCACGCGCACCAAGTCGCCCGGACCAGGAGCCCAGTCCGCCCTGCGCGCCCTCGCCCGAAGTGGAATCAAGATCGGCCGCATCGAAGACGTCACCCCAATCCCGTCCGACAGCACCCGAAGGAAGGGAGGACATCGCGGACGTCGCCTCTAATCATACTTTTACGTGTTTTGTTACTGTTGTTGAAATTTCTTGAATAAACAGATTCGACTTACACTTACAGCCGACTTACAGCACGGGTGCATCATAGGTGGCGGACGGGCGCTTGTTTCAGTGGGTTGGCTTTGTCGCGTTCTGTCAAACTGCTTGTTCGGATGCCGGAAATTTGCATGGGACGCATAAATGCGGCTGGTTACGCGGATTATTTGCGCAGTTTTTCGCTATGTCGGCCCGTGTTCCAGTTCTTCTGCTTACCTGTCTGATCGTCTCAAAACAGTATTTATCTCTTAACAGTGCCTAGGCGTGGGCACTCGTTTCCTTGCCTTTGATCGCGGAGACTGGCCGCGGGATGTTCAGAGGATTTGTGGATTCGGTGCTCTCTTTCTGCTTGCGACTTCTCCTCACCGCAAATTGGTAAGGCAAAATACTCTGGTGACTTCCTATGTGCGTTTTTTAGTTGAATGATTTGATTCCTGCGTGGACCCCCGAACTCGTGTGTCCCTTCTGATGGCTTGTGCACTACAATTCGGCTTCCCGCCCCCACTCGTCAAGGCAGAAGCTATTCAAGGCCTTCAACAAATTCATCTTTTCGCGCCCCGTTTTGTCAATTTACGTCTTATGGTTCTGGAGATTATAAGGGCTTATTTTTCCGCCATTCAGATAGCAATGTCTTGTTTTCAGCCTTCTTTCCTGTCCCGACTTGTGCTTGCGTCGTGCTGCTGTCTGCTGCCTTCGCCAACTGGTCCAGAAGGGAGCCAAAGAAGTGCGAGAGCATGCGCAAGTCCTCGTTTCGGAAGGCGTTGTCGATGAAACGAAGAAATTACTCCGCCCCGACACCCGCCTCGAAGGCGCTCTATTTGGGGATGCTGGATTTCGAGACAGAACCCACTTTACGGTATATTTTGCATCGGTTATCAAAAACTTTTTCTCTAGTTCCCATCTCGAAGAGACGTTGATCTCCCTGGTGCAAGCAACAAGCGCGGGCCTGCCCTCAAAGTGGCACTCACTATGCAACGAATTGCTGGCTTCAAGGTCCAGGTACTATCTACATGAAGAATCAAAAATAATGTTTTGTTTTAGGTTGGTGCTGCTCTACGGCCGGCATTCACCGATGAGACGCCCTCTGATGTGACGGCAGCAGCGTGCCAAGTCTGTTCCACCTGGATTGGCCGTGGCGTCGCTCGTGACCTGAACGATCTTCAGCGTGTGCATCAACTGCTTGTTTCTTCATTTGGAAAACTGTGACACGGATCAAATAACACCCAGCTCTACAGTGACAGCGCATCTACATTGGAGAAATTGAGCATCCTAAAGGCATCGGCAGAAGTTTACGTCACGGCAATCGAACAAGAGCGCAACATGGATCATCGACGAGAAGGTAATTTTTATAGCAATAAGGCCGATTGACTATCAATAAATTGTTCGGATTCGCTCGTTATATTCCCCAATAGCTTTCGCTAAATTTATTTCCCAGATGACATCTACCCATCGGGATCAAGGGAATCGCTGCTCCTTCTGGTTCAGCCCGAACTTGAACATCATGCCGGATATTGGCTCGCAGCTCTTAGGTATGGTGAATATAATTGTTTGGATAGGTTGTTTAGGGACGCTGCTTTGCTCTCGCTACCTGCCAATTTCAATGGTCAAATGCCGAAAGAGGGCGGCGCTTTCTATCAGGTTTTTATCCGCTGTGAAATGAGAAACCGGCTCTTTAGAAAGATAGCGCGGATGCTTGTCGGGAATACTATCGACAATGCTGGCGCAGCGACTTGGCTGGCCAACGCTTCTTTCGTGCTGCCGACAGTCTGCGAGGTATGTGTAGTTCTTACCTTCACAACCTTCTTAGTCGCCTGACGTCTGGCCCTATTCTCGCCGCGTTCATGCGTGCGTGCGCCTTCACGTCATGTTCGGCTTGGCGATCGAAGCGCTGTCAAATCGTACGACGAGCATACAGGATGACGCCACTGTTCAAGTATTGTTAATATTCAACGTGTCTACTGCAATGCTTTTACAGCAATGTGTCAAAGCCCCCACACCCGCTCTTCTTGTACGTTTGGGTCCAAATGCAGGCAATGAGCGATGTACGAGTGCCGAACGAAATCATAAATGTTTTGCACAGGTATACCCGGCCATCTAGCTCAGATTTTCAGTCTTTCAGGCTGATCCTACAATGCTGCGTTGATTGTACGTCGGTAATTCTTGACGCAGCAAGGGCTTCTATCCAGATTAGTACGAAGAAAGGTGTGTATATTGTATCATCTGTATTATTCGTTTAGATGTCGAAAACGGAAATGTCGAACCAAAGGCGGTTGATGTACCGAGCAACCTCTTTGCCGGCGGTGAAGGTGCGGCTATCGGGAAACCCCAAGCGAATACGAAAAGGGAAAGACGGTCGACTCGCTCAGCAAGACACTGAGCTACGCATTCCTGGAGTTGTCCCTCTGCGTATTAGTTCGACAGGTATGATCGCTATTTGATCAAGAATCTTTTCAGATCCCAACTGAATAGCAGCGCCATGATACGCTCGCGATCGACAGCTCCTTTGCACCAAAAGCGAGTAAGCCGGCTAACGACAGAAGGTGCAAAGCTGGTCCAGTGTGCGTTCGCCTACTTTCACAGGTTGGCGAATGACTTCTGCGACTTACTAGCAGCAAATTCAGATACCGCATCTGCTCCACCTATCCGCGCTTCCTACAACACTACCCGTCCTTCTCCATGTGGCTGTTTTGCGAGAAGCAGCTCGCATCGATGAGACTTCCATCGTCCCCGATTTGCCTCCGGGTCACATCACAGGTATCCAATCGTTCCACAGATGTTAATTCATTCGTTTAGGCGAGCTACTAATGTCTGACGGCCCGAAGAACATCGACAACGCGTCATCCTTGTGGCAGCTATTCTCACTTGTTCGGCGGCTTCGACTCATGCGGTTTATGCAACACAGCGAATCCCAGGAATGTCTATGTCTGCTAGCCAAGCAGCAACTTGCTAGTGAACATCTTCAGGTGAATAGTTAGCTTTTGTCCTTTCCTGCAATGCTGATTTTGTGGTTTATCGTTATAATGCTTTGATTGGAGGTCGTAATCCGGACGCTTCAAGCTCTCGCATCGCTTTTTCCTCGTCGGGATGCTCCAGGGATCTATGCTCGACAAATTGGCCCTCATTTCTATGGATTGCTACAACCATTTGTAGTTGGCGACAAGGTTGCCAGTTTTGTACAATAAAACACCGAGATTCAGGCGCGAGATCTTGCATTGGTGGTCTCCAACGCCTGAACATTCTTGCCCCAGCCCATCCTCTACATTTCAAAACGGTAATTGCTATTTTCGCAACATAAACTGTGTCTTAGGTTCTATCTGCAGATGCTCAGTTGAAGCAGAAGCTCGAAACAGCGCTGCTCTTCCAGCCAAGCAAGCCAGTTGCAGAAATAACGCATGGCCGAGATGGATAAGGTGCGTATTTTGTGTAGTCTCAATTTAATAATTTACGTTTAGACATCAACCGCAAGCGTCATTCAACCCTCGATCAAGCTGACGATGGTTTTCAACAACATTTTCAACCGGGCCGCCGTTGCCGAATAAGGATTTTTTCTACGAACCTCCCTGGTACGACCCGGGACTCACTTGAGGTCAATTTCATACGTTCGCTTAGAATTCCTTTTAGGTTCGTTTTACAGATAAATGTCGCCATGCTGTCGGCTACCCTCGTTGATACAGCAGGGATTCTTGAAAACAACGACCCGATCGAGAATGAAGGCGTCAAGGGGGCGAGGGAAAAGTATGCCATTTAACCACTGAATTTCACTTTCATTTAGGCTGAACGAAGCGGATATCGTCGTAGCTGTGTCTGATGCTCGAGAGGACGACATTGTGGTGAGAGCTTCCAATTGGCTTTGAATCCATTTTAGCTTGACGAACTTATCATCGATCTACAAGAGGCTGTGAACGGCGCACCGATCATTGCTGTGAAAAAAAAGCCGATCTCGCGTCTAACAAAGTGGTTGGTGTTGCTTTTTTTTATTATTTTCCGAAAAGATACTATGTCGTAAGTTGGTGTCTGCCGGACTCGAAAAATGAATTTTTAGCTTTCATTTTGTAATTGCGCTGGAATCCGCTTTCTAAAGTGAATTTCTTACTTGAGAAATGTCATTTTATTTGCCACAGCTTCATGTCAATTTTTTTGACTATATTTTCTTTTATAGACCGGAAGCGCTGCCGGTGAAGCCGATGGACAAGACGCCGCCCGACTTCTCAATCTGCTTAGATTTGCTGAATTGCGGTTAGTCAGTTTCGAGATATTTCGCCGCGGATTCCTTTTAGGTATAAACCAGAAGTCGGGAATGGCGAGATTCAATGGGGCGGAAGTTGGCACTGGCCAGCTGTACAGAAGTCCTCAAGCTCGCGCCGGCCAGCAGATCAGGAGGAATCGACGATTGCTCAGGTAGCTAGGTTTTAAAAACATATTTGAGGAGCGAAAATTCGCCGATGGGGTTGCCGCTCTGAATGGACCGGGTGAGCAGCACGCAAATAGGCACTGCTCGCCTGAAGTTGACGACGATGGACGTTTATGGAAATTCTGCGGCCGGTGCGGTTTCAAGGTAAATAGTTTGATTGAAATTCCCCGGAGTTCGCTTTGTAAAGTGAATTGCTTACTTGCAAAATGTCATTTTGTCACAGCTTCGTTTCTGTCTTAATTCTCTATATATTTTGTTATAGGCCTGAATTTGTGCGGGACAAATCGACGACTAGACGCTGCCCCACTTGCCGAACTTCTTATTTTTGCTGTTTAGCGGTTAGTCGTTTTCGAGATACTCCTCCGCCGATTCTTTTTTAGGTATAAATTCGCATGAAGGTGGACGACTCGACGGGAAGTTCAGGGTTGTATCATGCTCGATGCGAATGGCATGTCGCCGAGCCAATCTGAAGGCCATGAATGGAGGATTATTCAGGTAGTTCGTTTTCAAAACCTGTTTTAGAATGGACTACGCGATGATCCGCCACGCTATGGACGGAAGGTGTTAGGAACGCGCAAGGAAAGGCGCTTCTCTCCAGAAGACGGTCTACAACTTTTCCAGTTGCTCGACAATTCGAAGAGCCTCAAGAGCGAGATGGTGAACCGGAAATGTATTGGGGAGCTGAGTGATTGGTACATTGTAAATTCATTAAAAAAGCATGGTTTATCTTGAAGAATAACGTTTGCTCTCTAAAAAGTTGGCTTTGGAAGAATTTTCGAAGTATTGTGAAATTTTTGGCACTTTCAAATCCTACTATATATAAAAAAATAGTGTCTGTGTTTGTGTGTGTGTGTGCCACTTTGCATGCAACTTCCGTCAGGTTGTTCCAGTCGTATCTCAAGAAGGAGGGAAGCTACGGGGTGTTTGATACGTCATTAGATGCGTAATGGCCTGGGAATGACTGCACAACAATAAAGGTTTCAAAAATGAGCTGTTTTCGACGTTAAAATTAAGTTTTTGTTGAAAAATGGGCCACCCTCTTTGTTAGGAAACAATTAGCATACGCCGGAAGTTGCGGCAGACTATATAAGAGAAGAGAGGGAGCGTTTCTGATTTTTTGTCATCGAAAATCGTGAGAATTATGCAAAGTGAAGAATATCATCGGATCAGACGGGGCCAGGGTTGAAAAGTCGCGAAGCGGCTTTTCAACCCTGGTATAGCTTAAAACTTTTTAGAAGCAATACAAAAGCCCTTAATATTTCGTTGCTCAGCCCACCTGGCAGCGTAGAAAAAAAAATACGTAGTTTTAACTGCATTCACTCGTTGCCCAATGTGACGAGAGCGTGACGGTGACGTCGAGAAGGATACATCCATCGCAGCAGCCGCAAAGTAATTATTTGTGCTTTTTACGTAATTAAATTTTTGTCTTTAGAATCGCAAAGCAACGTCGTGATGAGGGCATCTACTTCAAGTACGCAAGAGCCAGAGAATCGCTCCAGGCTACGGTAATAATGCTCGTTTTGTTGGATCTTTTTTTTCAGATTTTGCTATGGTGACCCCGCCGGATCATCTACGAATTCTTGCTCTAGCGTCGACGCATCTGATGCCCCAATCCGACTCGCTAGCATATTTATATTTCAATTGTTACACTTTGTTTGTAGTTTCACTTGTTGTACTTTGCCGTCCCCATTGTTTAATTGAAATAAATTTTGTTGCCAAAATGGTTGCAAAAATAACACACATTAATGGTTTGTAGGCCCAAGCGTCATACTGATTCGATCCATTCGAAAATTTTATGGTTCTTTCGCATTATCGGGGGGGGCGAACTTGTTGCATAAGTCTAGAAATGTTTACTAACGTTATAGCAGGTGTTTTAATAGTGTCTTTCGTTGAAAAATAACGATATTTCGCTAGAAAAACTACCTAGAACGTTAAAAAAAATTTGGCAAACTTTTACAATTTGACCCTTTTACTAAAATTTTGTACATTTTTCGCGTTTACGGATAGTAAACTTCCGACTATCTATATTTGAAAAACTGGATACTGAGAAAAGGATGGTTACCCGATAATGTGATAAAACCAATATTAATTTTTTAATTTAGAAAATTACCATTAATCTCTGTTTTGTAGATTTTGTGGAACATCCATGAGAAAACCGAAGAACTTTTTTATGCGTTTAGATATGCATAGAAACGCCGTACGAAGTATTTTGGTCAATCGTTTAGTGGTATTTCGCTAAATTCTAAAGTAAAAACTGTGGATTCAACCAAAAAAAGTTTGATAAGGTCCAAATAAATGCTTCGATGCCAAAAAAAACAACAAACAGTGTTCTTTTTGTTTTCCATATTTTCATTTCGAGTATTACATTGATACCATAGTTATAGTTGCTTTTGCAGGCCTGACTCGATGCAACAACCCGACGACACACCGCCCCGCTTCATGGTCTGCTTGTATTGCTGCGGTTAGTCGTTTTTCGAGTTACTTCTCCGCCCCTGTTTTTCAGATACGACATTCGGAGGAGAATGATGGGAAGATGTCGATTGGATGGAACGAAGCCTTGGCTGACGGGGAGAGTGAGGCGACAATTGGAGCGTCTTCAAATCCGAGCCACTACCATCAGGATAGGATGCTGCCCAATTTGAAGGTATTCGGGTCCTGATCTACAGAGTGTCCAAAAAACGCCCATCGAGATTTCTAAACAAAATATTGTAAAACAAAAAAGTTATATAGAAATGATTTATTTTGCCGATTTCACTAGGATTTTGATGGATTTGGACCTCGAGATAAAATGAACCGGACACTTTTTTCCACCCGGTGGAACTTTTTGAATGACGAAAATTACGACTAAATTGGGACTTTTCATCACTTTGTACTATCAAAATTGACAGAAACCGACCCGAAAATGACCATTTTCGGGGAAAAGTACTCAAATTCGGCACGCTAATTGCGAAAACATAGCCAAAAACGAGTGCCAGCGTTTTCCCAAAAGCAGTTTTTGTGCGATAGTAACTAATAATTAGGAAGATCGTTTGAGGATATGTTTTCCTTCGTTCTAGGGCGAAAATGTTGGCCGGGATTCCGGCATTTTTACCTGAAATCTCTGATCTTCTGCTAATCCTTTCGACTGAAATTGAATATATTCTGATTCTACAGAACCAGGCCAACATTTTGCCATATTTTGCAGCCCTGTAAGACAATGGGGAGTCGAAATAAAAGGGGACGGGGGGCTGCGAACCAATTTAGGCGCGATCACTGCGCGATCACTGCCCGTTGAACGCTGGTCGACCTTCATTGTAGTTTCGCGGTTAGTCGCTTTTCTGGCTACTTCTCCGCCAAATTTTTTTTGAGATATGTGGCTCGGATGAGGCTAATGCGAAGATCTCGACTGGATGGAAAGAAGCCCTGGCTGACGGGGATGGATCGAGGCCACCATGGTAGCTGGCAGATGGGCGAACCTCCTCAAATCGGCGCCACTACAATCAGAAGACGATACTGCCCGATTTGAAGATTTGCTGGTACTTTTTAGACGTATAGCTGGCTAGTAACTAGGTAAAGTTTTTGACTATATATCTTTTGCTTCGTTTTAAGGTGAAATTGTTAGCCGGGTTTCCGAGTTTTTTGCTTCAGATATCTTCATATTCCCCTAATTATTTCGATAAAATTCAATGTATTCCTATTCTACAAAACAAGGCGCACATTTTGGGATTTAGGATAGATAGATACAGCCCTGTCGGATCATGGGGAGTGGAAATAAAAGGGGAGTGGGGGTGTTCCTAACCAATTTTAGGCACGGCCACTGGCGTTGAACGATTGCCGACATGCCTTCGACGACTTTCATTGCAGTTTCGCGGTTAGTCGTTGAGCACAGTGCTTCCCCGGCATGTTCTTTTAGATAAACGAGCGTGTGCTGAGGGACCAATGATCGACTGGACTGAGCAATCGAGCAGCGACTGCGCTTATGACGACATTTATGCACTGAAATGCCCGCAGGTGGTGAAGACGACATCGAAGCAACGAGAAGATGATAGTGACCGCCTTTTCAGGTACTTTTCATTAGAATCTCCGAATTTTAGGTCTGAATCTGGAGCTCGATGATGATGGTACAGCATCCGGCTGGATTACAAGGAGAAACAAGTGAATGGGCGCGCGAAAGTGAAGAAATATGGCCGCAAAAGGAAGAGCAAGAAGTAGAATGCGATTTAATAAAGGTATTTAGTTTTGCAATTATTTCTAGGCGAAAGCGAAAAAGGCGTCGCTCAGCTTCGAGTGCGAATGGCCGGGCTCTCACGACCGTTATGGCAGCAGCACGGCATTTGTGAAGCCCACGTTATGAAGAAGAGAAGAAGCGCAGCTTGACTGGTTATCTATTATTAAAAACTTTCTTCAGATAAAACTACACGAATGCCGAAACTCCCCGGCGAGACAGTTTCCCTGTCTTATATTAAAAAAAACAGGCGAGCTGACAGTTTTACGACTCGAATTTCCGCGTATCTTTAGTCCATCTTTGTACTTTGTAGTCCAGTTAAACAAATTAAACCCTTAGAAATTCAAAATAGCCCGCGATTTTTCAAACTATGGGTTTTGAGCATTTTCTGTTAATTAAAGTTGTTGTAACTGAGGTTTCTGCTTCGCAAAAAGAGGTGAAAAGTTGTAGTTTGTAGTCCAGAAACTAAATGTCCAGGTTTTAGCGCTTTGAAAAAGGTGGAATCAAAGAAAATTGTTGATTTTCGAGCTGTCTACCGTAGATTTATTCGTGAAAACAGTCTTGTCCAATGGATAGTAATTTTACAAAAATAACAAAAGTGAAAACGGGGTTGAAGATCGCTTCGGGAGAGGCTTCCTAGAAGATATATTCATTTATGGGGGCACTTCCGGTAAATAACATTGATTTTGCATAATTTGCATCTCTGGATTAGAGATGTGCCCGCGAAAGCTGCTAAATCCATCATTCTACAAAACCCGAAGACGACCCCCGGCCACGTCTTCGCCAACATCGTCCGTATCACCGACCTCTTCTTCCTCCTCCTCATCTTCATCGCGAAAATGGATCGTAAGTTTGCCTTTATGCAAATTACTTTTTAAAATTTAACTTAGCTTTTACCTAGCTTAGCCTTTGACTTTATCCTAATCACTTAGCCTAGCTTTTGGGAACCCTTTTTGCTTGTTTTTTTTACCACAGTTTTATAACCTTTATGCTTTGGTACTAGTGCACTTCCAGGCGGGGGGGAGAGGCGGGATCGAACCCCAACCCGGGTTCGATCCCGCCTCGGGTCAAATTTTGTTTGCTTTTTGCTTTTTGACTTGAGAAATGATGGGAAATACTAGGAGGATCTAGCGGTAGTTTAACTTGACTGTTCCCTGGCTAATTAGCACGATATCTTATCAAGGAAATGACCCGGGTTCGATCCCGCCCGAGGTCATTCTTTTTTGCTTTTTGCTTTTTGACTTGAGAAATGATGGGAAATACTAGGAGGATCTAGCGGTAGTTTAACTTGACTGTTCCCTGGCTAATTAGCACGATATCTTATCAAGGAAATGACCCGGGTTCGATCCCGCCCGAGGTCATTCTTTTTTGCTTTTTGCTTTTTTGAGCGGAAACTATCGGGAATGCTGGGAGTATACGCCCTAAAATTTAGCCACTTCAAATTAAATTAATTAAATAATTACGCTTATTCCCACGAATGTGGCCTCACGATGTTCCATGTTTGCAGCGGCTGATTACGCGAGGCTCAGGGACACCCTCGAGACCGTGAATCAGATCTTTATCCAGGAGTGGGTTTTGAGTTATTCTTATAACTGCAATTGATGTCTTTTTCCTTGCGGTCCATTTCAAATATTTAATTTAGCGGATGTGCGCTGCGCGTCATCGCGTACCCGACCGGCAAGGTGGAATTACTCGGAATCGTCACTGAGATCGCCTCGGTGGGTGCTAATTTCATTTACATTTCAATAGAAATGTACCTGAAATTAATTTTCTAGAAATTTTAGAGGAAAATCTTTTTACTACAAATATATCGATTTTTGCGATCGGAAATTCGAATGGTTATCCTAAGAATTTTTCAATATAAAGAGCGAAAATCTTTCTCAACTTTTTTTTGCACTATTCCTGATCGTGAAAAGGTGACAAATTTTATTCAAAACCCGCAAAGAATAGACTTTTTCGGTAAAATTTTTCTGGGTGTTTTTGATGGTTTTTCGATTTTGAGAGATAGCTAAACTTTACTAAAAATACCACTAAATAAAGAAGGTGAGAACTAAACATATGCTTTATATTATTTGTTAACTACAGAAATTTTAATTACTCTACAAATACATTTGATATTATCAAAAGACACGCCCCTGCTACAAGTCCAGTACCAGTTAGAAATTCTGATTTTCGGGTTCTTTTGCATTATCGGGGGGACCAACTTTTTTCCTTAGGGTCTATTTTTTTTCAAATAAAAATGGTGGAAATGTTGTTAAATGGTTTTTTTGCTAGCCCTAGACGTGAAAACTTTACAAATTTGTATTTAAAATATAGAAAATATCGATTTTCGACCAAAAAAGGGCGGATTTTTTTGTTAACCAAAATTTCACCATTTCATAAAGTTTTTAGATATATTTTGTTTATTCGATAAAAAATTTCCATTACATTATCTCGGGCTGAAATCAATTTTCTCCGTATATTTTTCGACCTGTTCGATTTATATTTACGAAAAAATCTTCAAGAACTGTTTGAAAACGTCGAAAATTTGGGGATTTTAGGTCGAAGAAAAACGAATTTTTCGAGCTAAATTAAATTTTCTAATTAAAATTTGTGGTTTTTATGCTAAGGAATTTGTACTATAGTCATTTTCCAGGGCTTCTACGACAAGAAGAGGGCCGCCGAGCCGCCGGTGACCCAGAGCGACAAGCAGCTGCCCGGCATGAAGAGGACCTCGACCATCGGACGCGCAGGGCCCTCGACGTCCCAGGCGACGCCCCACGCGACCCACCCTCGTCCTCCCCACATTCACCCGGACGGCAACAAGGACAAGGCGCGCAGCCCGCGCACCAAACGGATCTGCCGCCAGTGAAATGATGATTAGTCGTGTGTCGGGGTGAGCAGCAATGTTTTCGATTTGTCCTTTAATTTCTAAGGGCCGATAGTCCGATTTTGTACATGAAATTTCTTCTGCATCAAAAATTGTGCACATTTTGCAGCAAAATTTTTGCCACAAAAAACTGTAAAGAAAATTACAAAATTATCTCTGGCTGCTCACCCCGCAAATAGTTTTCGCCCTTTTACGAGAATTGTGTGTTATAAGGCCGAGTTCATCCCACACTCGCGCTACAGCTTTCCCCCGCGCATCATTTGTACGATTGCGTTTGAATCTGGTGGTCACACGAATAAATTTTATATTCCGTTGTTGTGATTCGCATGGCAAGATATCAGTGGAAAACAGACACAAACACAGAAATGCACACTAGCCGAAGATATAGAAAGATTTTAAAGGAACAGAGGAGGCACGACATTCGGCTTGGCTTGGGCTGCTTGGCTTTCTTGAGATTCGGCTTGGTTTGATTGAGGCGAGAGGGAGAGAGAGAGCGACAGAAAGCCTGAGAGGACGGCGGAAAGCGAGAGAGCGATAGAAAGCGAGAGAGAGCGAGAGAGAGCGGCGGAAAGCGAGAGAGAGAGCGACAGAAAGCTAGAGAGAGAGCGAGCGAGCGAGCGAGAGAGAGAGAACGGCAAAAAGCGAGAGAGAGGAAGAGAGAGAGCGGCGGAAAGCGAGAGAGAGCGACAGAAAGCGAGAGAGAGCGACAGAAAGCCTGAGAGAACGGCGGAAAGCGAGAGAGCGATAGAAAGCGAGAGAGAGCGAGAGAGAGAGAGCGTCGGAAAGCAAGAGAGAGCGACAGCAAGCTAGAGAGAGAGAGCGAGCGAGCGAGAGAGAGAGAGAGTACGGCAGAAAGCGAGGGAGAGGGAGAGAGAGCGGCGGAAAGCGAGAGAGAGCGACAGAAAGCGAGAGAGAGCGACAGAAAGCCTGAGAGAACGGCGGAAAGCGAGAGAGCGATAGAAAGCGAGAGAGAGCGAGAGAGAGAGAGCGGCGGAAAGCGAGAGAGAGCGACAGCAAGCTAGAGAGAGAGCGACAGAAAGCCTGAGAGAACGGCGGAAAGCGAGAGAGCGATAGAAAGCGAGAGAGAGGGAGAGAGAGACAGCGGCGGAAAGCGAGAGAGCGGTAAAGTTCTCGCCTCTCGCCCGCACTATCCGGGTTCGACTCCCCGCCAGTGTGAAATTTTTTGCTTTTGCGGGGGAGTAAGGGATTTGGATTTTCAAGGGCTTAGGGCAGAACTTCCAGGCCAAAGCCCAATATTTTTGGAAGAAGGAGCCATTGGAGTTTCGCAATGATTAGGGGGCGGGACGCTGTGTTGGTTGGTTGTCGAGACTCCCTCCTGAATTTGGGGCTCGTTTTGTGGGGGTCGTTAAAGAGAGAGAGAAAGAGAGAGAGAGAGAGAGAGAGAGAGAGAGAGAGAGAGGGAGAGAGAGTGGGAGAGAGGAAGAGTGAGTGAGAGAGAGACAGAGCGAGAGCGAGAGAGTGAGTGAGAGAGGAAGAGAGAAAGAGAGAGTGAGAGAGAGACAGAGGGAGAGAGAGTGGGAGAGAGGAAGAGTGAGTGAGAGAGAGACAGAGCGAGAGCGAGAGAGTGAGTGAGAGAGGAAGAGAGAGTGAGAGAGCGAGAGAGATAGAGAGATAGAGCGACAGAGAGCAAGAGAGAGAGAGAGAGGGGGGGGGGGAGAGAGAGAGATGGGGACACCAAAAAAGACGCCGAAAACGACCGGAGGCCCCAACCAACTCCCGAAATTGCCCCCTGGCTATGGGGTTGGCTTCTCTTTTTCTGCTTGGGCGAGCATCGCCAAATTTTGTTGGGGCAGCTTTTCGTGTCAGTCGGGAGGGGGTAGTGCTGTTCCAACGGCAAAGAAACGTATACCACTCCCGAATTTGCTACATTTTTCATTTCGCTCATTTTAATAATTTTTACGACTCAAATTTTATCATATCTTTTATTCAGCGTTTTAGTTTATAGGCCGATTAAGCTAAATAACTAGCGCAAAACATTTCCTGAAAATTCTAAATTCATACTTCCAAGTTTAACTGATTTTCTAAAACAAGCGAAAGGTGTAGTTTGTAGTACAATTAGACAAATTCGAGCCTAGAAACATGAAATAAAACGTGAATTTAAAAGCTCTATAGATTTTTTTTAGTTTTTACCTTAATCAAATTTTTAGATACGCAAAATTTCGTTTTTTAGTTTTTCTTGTAAAAAGTAGCATAATTATAAAAGTAGCCAATTTATAAACCTAAATTATTTATAGGGGGTTAAGTCGAATGTTAAAATTTACTGCAATTCCCCACCCTTGCTACCGTAAGCGTGCGCAATTAAATGCCGGCAATTTGTCTCAATTCGGGGGCATAGGCCGGGCCCTAAAGGGACTCATTCTCTCTTCCCTGGGACGCAATTTGTGTTCGCTTGTATGAATAGGAGGGAGGGGGGTTGTGTTATATCTTTCTCTCCCTCTCTCCCTAGAGGGACATTCCGGGGCGATACGCCCCTTGTGGAGGACAAAGCTTTACCCCTTCCCTTCCTATTCGTCACCCCCAATTCTCAAATATACATTCTGATTTTGTACATTGGCTATTGGTAGGGCGGTTTCTTATTTAAAGGGGTTAGGAGGTCAAAATTGGCCTGAATTACATGTCGTAATGCCTCCTCCCGGCCCTAATTTATCGATTTTCACGATTTCCGCCCAAATTTTGTAAATCTTTTTCGCGCGGTCGCAGTGTTTTATATTTTGAAACCATTTTTTTAAGTTTTAAGGAGCGCTTGTTCCCTTAAAATTCACCAGATTCCGCCGATTCCGCCCCACTACTCTAAACACTTGAACGGACAAGTATCGTCTCGTACTGCCGCCCCTATATTGGCTCCTTCGCGTCTTCACTCGGCGTTTTTCCGGCTCTTCCTTTGTCCCCAATGCCATTTTTCCTCTTTCGATGCCCTGAGGCTATAGAAGATTGATGTTCGGGGTTAAAAAGCGCTTTTTTCGTTTGAGAAATCGCCCCAAAAGTTGCAAAGCTAGAATTGCAACTTTTTGGCTTCTACGTTCCTTTAGGGATTTTCTATAGCTTTTATGCTTGCTTTACGTCGCTTTCTTACATCCAAAGCTTTCCTAAAACGCAGAAAATCCCCTTAAAATCAAGCCACGCCATAGCTGAGTGGTAAAGTTTCTAGATTTTCAGGTTAACTAGCCAAGTTCGAATCCCGGCCCAGCCAAGTTTTTTTCTTTTTGAAAATTAGCTAAACTAGCAGGTTTTTAACCCTATAAACTATAAGAAACCTGACCAAAAACCACTTTACGAAAATTCCAACCCACCATTTACATTTTGGAGCGAATTCGGCCCCCCGATTCCATGCGGGACCCTAGAAAAAAGAGATTGGTGGGGACATGATGTTTTTGACGGATTCATGAGGGTTTCCACTTGACACCTTTAGACAGCAAAAGGAAAAGAAGGAAAAAGACCCGTTGAAAATGCATCAAACGGACGGGTCGGGCCCCCGAAAAAGGCTTTTACAGCCAATGTTCTCCCCGAATTTTGGTCTGTAGCTGCGGGAAAATTGGTTCTAAAAATAGCTTAGATATTTTAGACAAATTTCTAAATAATAATCTGTAGAAATTACATAAAAATTCCATTTTAATTTTGAAAATAGCCAAAAACGGCTTTATAATGACAATTTTTCGCTATAACTTTTTTAATTTTCAATATTTTTATGTAAAATTTTGTAGGCGTATAGGTTTTGCTTTTCTTGAGTTATTCATGAAATTTTAGACCATTCCAACTTGATCTTGAAAAGTTAATGCAATTAGAAGCCCTCAATTTTACGTTCGAAAAACGGTTTTTTGACTGTATCTTTTTTAGTTTTAAAAATTCTATTCCAAAATTTTTTAGGCCGATAGTTTATATGTTTCCCCAGCTTTTCTAAAAATTTTAAACAGATTGAACTGAACCTAGAGAAGTAACAGCAATTAGAAAGCACCGCCTACCCAAAAATTGATCCTGCCTTTCTAAAACGCGCCCATTACCGTAATACCTTCCAAAAATGGATACACATCCTTTGTCGGCCCTCTGACCCACAATTGTTATTAATCCGGTGCGCAAATTTATTCGGTGCCTCAAAAGGGGGCGTGGCCAGGGGCGTGTTGCGGATTATCCCCCATCCACGCACACTCAAACGTTCCCGCTTTCAGGGGAACGCTTTGTAGGGTCAGATTTTTATTTGTATACTGTAAACTCGCTAGAAAAACGCATTAAAGGTACCTTGGAAGTTTTAGAAATTCAATTAACCTAAATTTTCCTATTTTCCGCTACACTACGCAACTTCCGGTCGGGTGGCCAGAGGTGCGCTTCGGAAAAAGTGTTTACCTCGCCGGGCCCTTCGGCGGGGAGAGCCCCCCACTTCTTCTATTGGCTTTTGAAAACAATCCCCTTCTCTGGCCGTCTCTCTCTCTCTCTCTCTCTCTCGCTCTCTCTCGCTCTATTTTCTGAATGGGTACCGAATTCCGGATCGATACTCCTTCCCCCCTCCAAACAATCAAATACCCCCGCAATAGCCAGGCCCTTTTTGACGAGGTGGCGCTGGGCGCGGGTTTTTTGCGTTTAGACGGCTGGTTTTGAGGTTTTGTTTTATTAAAACTAAGATAATGTAAGATTGTTTAATCTTAATTCTTATATGTTCAATTTTTTAGAAACATCTTAAAAGGTGCAAAAAATGCGATTTTCATCTAGTTTATTCAATAAAAACTAGCTAAATACCATTTAAAAAATTTCTCAAATAATTTAGCTTTTATATTCTTCTAGAAAAATCAATATTTTCATAAAATTTACTCAGAAATTCGTGTTTTTTTCACTTTTCCAGTTGATTTCCCTGTTTTTCCACCCCGCTACTCCATCGATCACGCTCCAAATGACAATCGTGTCAACATAAATTAAGATGTCGATGGGGAGGGCCTTTCTTCGCTCTTTTTCGCTCTCTTTTTCCCCCGAAAAGATTATGATCTTTGAGGGGATGGAAGACATGAGGGACGCCAATTCACAACCCAAAAAAAAAGAATCGAGGAGAAAGGGGGGATTGGGTTGGGTGTTGTTGTGAGGAATGGAGAGGAATAGAGGCGAATAGAGGGGGGAGAATGCTTGAAAAACGGCGTTGGCTCGGTGGAGCTCGGCTCGGCGGGGCCCATTATCCATTGCGCCCTTCTTCTTTTTGCCAGATGCGAGGAGGGTGGGCCTTTTCGGAGTGCCGATCCCAGGTTTAGGGGTTTTGGCTTGAAATCCGCTATTTTTAGCTGAAAGTCTTGACTTAGCCGAAACTTTCGGTTTAGCTCAGCCGGTTAGTGGTTAAATTTCACGCTAAGGTCCGGGTTCGATTCCTGATGGTGTCAGCGTTTTACTTTTCCCTAAAAATAGCAGTTTTTGGAATTTTAGCGCCTGAAAATCAAAATTTTCCGAAATTGCGGGCTTTCGCGCAATCGGTTAGAAGCTAAGTTTCAAGCTAGGGGTCAAGGGTTCGATCCCTGACGGCGACAGGATGCTGCTTTTCCCGAAAAATGCACAAAAATCTAATTTTCTGAATTTTTCGGGCCGGTTAGCGACTAGCTTTCATGCCAGCGGTCGAGGGTTCGATCCCTCACAGCGTCAGAATTTTGTTTTTTTCTCTAAATGTGAAGGGCTGCTTTTCCGTTGCCAGGTTTTGCGATTTTCGCTTGAAAACCCGTTTTTAGTTTTAAATCTCGAATTTTCGAGAATTTTCGGCTTTAGCGCAGTCGCTTAGTGTTTAGCTTTAAAGCGGGAGGCCAGGGTTCAATTCCTCGCAGCCCAAGACCTCTGTTTTTCCTATAAAAATTGTTTGTACAATTTTGCGTGTAATTCTAGGCGTTGTTTTTCACATTCATTGATGACAAACCCTATTGACGATTTGCTGAATCACGAAAATCAAGCAAACATTGGGTTCCCACCCTGGCAACAAGACGCTTTCTAAAAAGTGCGCCATTCCCTCAAAGCTCTCAGAGACTTTGTGGCGAAATCGGGCCTGGCTACCTTTTTTTGAAGTTTGAAATGCGGTGTCCCTGTGCCCCCCTGCTGTGGATGACCTCGATAAAAAGGAGGAAAAAGAAGGAGCGAAAGAAGAAAAGAAGACAAGAAGAAGGTGTGTTTGCCTCAATCCACCTCCCAAAAAGGGGGTTGAGGCCATCCTCAGAAAAAAAGAGAAAAAGATCCCCCCAATCCGGCTCCACCGCCCATTTTTCGACAGCCCGGGCCCATCTTTCGCATCTTTTCCAACTTTCGCTAGCTTTTTCGAATTTTAGGGAGAAGCTCGCGTGTGTTTGGCCCATCCAAAGCCATTTAGCAGCGCCCTCTCCACTCGAAACATATCCCCTAGGGACTTTTTTGCGCTGTTTTCCAGTGTCATCTTGCCCCTCACGATTGAGTTGCTAAAAAACGCCAAACCGGTCTCCTTTTTTAATTTCTAAACTTTGAAGGATGTTGCAAAAAGTAATTTAGGCCTTGGCCGAACTTTGGATCAAAAAGCAAAAGAGAAAAACAGACGGAACTTTGCTTTAGCTGCTTTTTTTGCCAAAAAAAAGCTATAATGAGCAATAAAATTTCTGAAACCCTTCTCCTTTTCCCAGGAATCATATTACCATTCCCATAAACAACTATGAGTCACAGGGGTTCGAACTTTTCACATTTCCAACCTTCCCACTTTTCAAGGTCAAGCGCTATACTTCAAAAAGGGGATTCTATTGGATTTTTTTCTTTTAAAGGTTTTAGACTTGTATTTTCAACCTAATACAGTACAAAATGCTGTTTTCTAAAAGCCGTGGCTGTTAATAAAATCGATTTTCGATGCTAAAAGAACGCCTTTGCTCGTTGTTTATGCCCAAAAAGGATTTCGGTTGCTATTTTTCTATTTTTATACTTCTTACATTTCAATTTTACTTCAAAATCTATAGCTTTTAATAAAATCGATTTGCGATGCTGACCGAACGCTTTTTGGGTTTTTTTTTATTAAAAAGAAGATTCTATTGCTTTGTTTCTATTCTTATACTTTAAATTTCCATCCAGATATGTAGCTTTCTATAAATTCGATTTCGTGATACTAAACCACGTCCTCCTCTCGATGTTTGTAGAGTTCGAGCGGAATTTTTCTATTTTTAGACTTTTATACCTTTCAATTTTCCATCCCAGTCTATAGCTTTTTACAAAATCGATTTCCCGCTGTTGAAAACGAACGCTTTTCCCGTTGTTTGCCCCGAAAAGAGGCTAGATTTCTTATTTATTTGTGCGCAGCGCTTCGTTTCGCCAGAGAGCCGGCAAAACCCTAACGATTCGAGAGTCGAAAAAGATCGAAAAGCAGGGGGGCGCTTTAAAAATTGGGTGACTCAACAAAGTTCCCCAGCCGTCAGCTGCCCACCTTCACAATCCCTTCAAAGAGAAAAGAGCAATTGAGGTGAAAGGGGCTGTGTCTAATTTTTGTCCAACCTCATTAAAAGTGTTTTTTGATGTCCCTCGCGGTGAAGTTCGTTATTTTCTGGTTCCGGTTTTGTTCTCGGAATTTCTAGAGTAATTTGGGTCCAATTTTGCAGGTCTTGAGGTCTGGGAAGTTGGATTTACTCGATTCTAAAAGTATCAAAACTTTAGAATTATGTTTATTAAGCTCTAGATTTCTCATTTATGTCTATTTCCTGCTTCCGGCTTCATCTTGACCGATTCCCAGTGTCCTCGAGCCCAATTTTTCGGCCCTTCAAGTTCGTGAAGCTCGATTTCTTCGATTCTAAATCTTCTAAAATTTCTATTTAACTATATTAAAGTATCTTTCTATCTAGATTTTTTTTATTATGTTTATCACACACTTTCGGGTTTTTTCTCGCGTTTTCTAGCGGCCATTTGGGCCAATTTTGAAGTTTTTGAAGCATACAAAGCCCTATTTATACGATTCTAAATCAATTAAAACTTATATTCCTATTTATCCTCGTGCTTTTCAACCTATCTTTCTATAATTCTAGTTCCAGCCGCATACTGGCGTTTTCTATAGCACCTTCTAGTCCAAGTTGAAGGCTTAAAACGCCTAAAAACTCGATTTTTCGATTCCAACTCTCTAAAACTGCTGTATGACTTTTATTCCATCATTTTCGATGTAATCTTATTAATTCTTCACAAATCCGCTCGAATTTAGTCGTCAAAATGTTGTACAAACTCGCCGTGCTCGCGTCGATCGCGTTGGTGATGGGGGCAAATCTGGAGGATGATGTGAAGGGGGCTGTCAATGATGTTACCACAACAAAGGTTAGTCTAATGGAGTCCAATAACAAAAAGCTAGCTTTAAAAAGTTGAAAAAAACCGATAAAACACTCAAAAAACCTTCCAGGAAGGCGCCAAGTATTGCCCGGCAATCATCGCTGGTAAGCCATGCCCATCGGGGAGTTTCTTCCATTACTACAATTGCTGCGGAAACCTGAATATGGACTGCTGCTTTGCGCTGCAGGTATGTTTATCATTAAAAACTATTGAAACGTTAGAAAAAAGTGAAAATCTATAGAAAACTATGAAATCTAGATAAAAACTATCAAAAGATACTCTAGAAAATTATAAAAACTATAGTAACCCTATAAAATTATAGAAAGCTAATAAAAAACCCTAGAAAACTCTTGTAGCAACGTCATAAAAACTATACTAAATCGATCAGGACTATAAAAATTATAAAACCAATAGAAAAATGCTAAGGAGCAAATAAAAAACCTATAAGAACTCGATAAAGGTATTAAAGTGTATAAAAACTATAGAAACAATAGAAAACCATATAATAACCTATCGAAAACAATCTAAAACAATTCAACTGTAATCAATTATAAAAAACCTTTACAGACGTGGGTGATCGTCGTGCTGGCGGTGTTCGGTGTGATCCTCCTCGCCTCGTTCGTCCTCTCGCTCATCCGATGCGTTTTCTGCCGTCGTTAAGCCTAGAAAAACGAACAGCCCCCAAAACAGCCATTTTCACGCCTGGCCTTCGCTTTATCCCCCAACATTCCCCTGAATTTATGATTTTTCACAAAAAAAGACCAAACGCCCCCGATTAGGTCGCTGCTGTCCCATTTTCATGGATGCTAAAAATTGCGCGGTTCTCTTAACGCCCTAATTTTTTTCTTTACACTCTACGCCCTCAATATGTGCTCATTTCTTCACAAGCTTTTCCACAGCTATTCCTCTTTCCTAACAACCACCCCGCCGACATGCATTTCTTCGCCAAAAGCCGCCACTGATCAACAACGACACCACCGCATTGCGTACAAAATCTAAAGACGTAAATCTAAATGTAAAGCCCGTTTGTGTAGCTTTTGCTGGAATAAATTTTGTAATCAAAAGAAAAATCTACAAGTCATTGTATGCGTTTTATGCCTCTTTCAACATACGTGGAAGTTAGCAAATAATTTAGGCCAAAAGATCACAATGATACCAGTACAACCGACGAAAAATTCGTAGCAAAAAAACACGGTTTTCTCATTGGGCGGTGGGGGAGGGAGAAGGCGAGAGAAAGAAAGAGAGAGACAGCGAGAGGAAGAGAGCGACAGTGAGAGAAAGAGAGAGTCGGCGAGAGAGAGAGAAATGACGGGCGCGTCATTTCTTGTTGAGCGTTCGGTTCCTAACCGGGGGCGGGGTTTTTAAAATTGCAAAATTGAGAAAATGACAAAATGACGTTGACAAAGTGAAAAAGTGAAAAAGTGGCAAAATGAAAAAATGAAAATATGGGTGGGGAAGGGCGGGGAAATAGGGCAGTAATTAATTTGGGAGTTTGTAAGAGAGTGGTCAGTGAAAAGGCCTTCATGTATAGCACAATTTTCGGGGGAAATCAGCTTTAGAAAAGCCAAATTTTTAAGACTGTTTTTTTGGCATTATCGGGGGAGCACTTTTTTCTAGGGTTCAAATTTTTTACTAGAAATACAGTTTAAAAAACTTCTCCTTTTTCTTAGTATTTCCAAAAGCAGAACTTCACAAATTGTTACTAGAAAAATCCAACAACGATCGATTTTTCGATCAGTTCGCACTAAACATTTTTTCCATTTTTTAATTGTATTGCATTTCATAGATGATCAAATTTCATTGAAACCGATTGAAACGCTAGAATAGAAAAAAGGTGCTCCCCGATAATGCCAAAGAACCAAAAAAACTAAACCGAACATTTTTAAAGGGCAGAATCGTAGTTAGAGGGGGGCACAACACAAACTTCAAGAAACCAACAAAAACGAGCCAGAAAAGTAAAGCCAGGGTTCCCAGATTTGCAAAAAGCTGGTGCTCAAAAACCAAACTGAACGTCAGGTAGGGGAATTTCGCACTTTTGCACGCAATAGAATTTCGCTCAAAATATTATGAGGAAATAGCGAGGAAAAGAGCAGAAAGAGAAAGGCTGTCAAGGAGGGATTCGCCCGAGAGAGTGTTCTATTTTCCTAATTTACACTACAAAATAAATAAAAAACGGACTACAAACGTTTTTGGGTGTAATTAGGCACTGTGGTTACCCGAATGGGGGAGTTTCTTCTTTTTTTGGTGGGCAGCAGGGGACGGCTTCCGCTTCTCGTCGTCGCTACAACGGGACAGCTTTCGTCGAGGGTGACGTTAGTTGATCGTGTAGTCGGACGGCGTCGGTGAAGTTCAGGGGCCGACTGCGGTCACCATTCAGAATCTAAAATCGCAAATATAAGTGGTAAACCAATACAAACAAGGATTTGTAGCAGGGGAACTAATTCCGATCTTTTTGCCTACCATTTAATAAGATAAATGTATTTTATAGCGTTTATAGTAGCTTTTCGTTGCTAGAAAGTAATAAACACTTTTTTAAAATTCGAAAACCTTCGAATTTTTATATTTTCGGTCAGTTTTCAGAAACTTTTTAGCCAAAAGGGGGATTTTTTGCCATCTTTAAAATTTTTTATATGCTTTTATATCGAAAGAATGTGTAAAATGCTATGGAAATAGCTAATAAATTTCTATTATCAAATATTATACCTTTGTCGAGTGCAATCTGGGCTCGTAGACGACGGAATGCGTGTGGTTTGTCGTCCGGGAATTCGAGACGCTGTCCGCATTTTGGAAGGAGTCGCTGCGACTTCCGTCGAACTTCGTCGCTAAAAAACAATAATAAAAAATAGAACTTGATTCTTACGCGAACTGACAGCTTCCGCTCCACGGAAGGCTTCTTCCAGGCTAGCTTCATAAGCCGTCTTTTCGGGTGATCGCACTAAAATAAGGGAGTTTAGCTATAAAAATTTTTACGTACCACTATTCATGTCATCATAGAGATTGCAGGTGCTTCCCCCTTGTACGGCCTTCTCTTTCCGAGATGATTGTCCGAATCGCGTGTCAGCCCCTCCGTCAGCGATAGAGCCGTTCCCACACTCTCACTGTCGGCCAGCTTCAGTTTCTTCAGCTGAAATTTGAGAATATATACTTGGAAAAATACGAAAATAGGTGTTTAGGAAACTTTTCCGTCACGTGATTTTTTTGAAAACCGAGATTTTGGCATGCGAATTAGAACAAAAGGGGCAAAGCAACACTCGTCTATTCAAAAATAGTGTTTCCAAATCCCCCAAAAAATAGCCAAAAGTGCAGAATTTTTGCAGTTTCATGCGGCCTAAAATCACAATAAGTTTTACAATCAAATTCAAGCCATTTCCCAGATTTTAATCGTTAATAATAACCCTCATTCCAACGGAAAAGCAGCCGTCGCGCAATTCACACAACAACACCAAATCCCGGCCGCATTACGTGCTGTGGCCCGAAACCGAATCTCACAAATTCCAGTACGTCACAGTACTATAGCCGAAAGTAACATATATCTAGCTATCCAATAATATCTAGGCAGCTGGAGGGACAGACTCCGTTTAGAAAGCCATTTTCTAACCGATCTAATAGTACTATTTGCCATGGGGGAAAAGCGCTACACTCTTCTGACTACATGAAAAGCCACATTGCCGAGCATTATAGAGGTGCCAATATATAGATATACACAAAACACGCGCTGCCAGAGGGAGGTTTACCTCGGAGCTTTTCAGCCGTTTTTGGGAGGGTACCTAATAAATACCATAATAAAGTTGATTTCAAATCACAACCAATTTATTACAATACAAACAGAATAAATGTTAATTTCATACCCGGATAGGCCCTCTTGTGTTCGATTCCATGGTGTGCTGATCGGGCACGTACATCACGGCGTCATCATCTTCGAGGAGAAGCGCCTTCTGAAGGAGTCATAAGTTGAGGCGATTAACAATACCTTTCCCTTTCTAGCTTGTTTATTCGCACCCAACACGACAAGTCTTGCTCTGTTAGACGCATAGATCTCATATCTGAAAAAAAAATATAAGATTGGAAGCTAATAAAAAACGTACGAAGGGAATTGACTTCCACAAAGCGTCGTCTTGATGTTGACACAACAGGAAGCGGTAAAAGGGTTATATCCCTTCTGGAATTTGCCAGTCACCTAAAAAACGTATTAAAAATGATTAAACTAATATAAAAACCTGTTCATTTGTCGTGCGACCTCGAGAAACCAGGACAATGTGGAAGATCGTCAGCCCGATCACTGGAAACGCGAGCAGAAAGCTGACGAGCAGCAGGACCACGGCGCACATGTTCGGTCGCGTCAACATCTCCTCTCTATAAATTCAAAATAAACTTTATTTGACCCAAAGAACCCTCTAACCCCGACTACAAACTACAATAACCACCTAGTGAAGAATTTAGCATCAGTAGGGGTGGAGGTGGGTAGACTGTTCAATTCCTTTGTATATCCCGGCACCGTTACAGCACCCGGGCTAGAAATTACCCGGTTTTCAGGGGAAGGGGAGGGGAAAGATACTTTGACACCATTCAGAAAGAAAATTTGGAAACCAAAAATGATAAATAAAAGTGGGCGGTTTACGCAGGTGGTGGTGCTCTTTCACTTGTAAGCTAAAATAGACTACACGCTCGAAACATAAGCGCTTTAGCTTCATTATATAAATTATAATTCCATTTATAAATCTAAATTTGGGCACGCTATATCGATTTCATTAAAAACTACGAGAAATGCCATAAAAAGCTGCTATGGTGACGAGGAATAAGCTAAAAATTTGGAATTACGTCTAAAAACGATATTTTGCATCTATTATCGTTTTTTTTTGCTCTATATTGTTAATTCTTACGACTAAAACATAGAAAACCAATTAGCGTAATTTTCTAGCAATTTTACACCTTCCTAGTCATTTAATATAACTCTAGACACGTCTAAGAGCTTTTCCCTTACTAGTGAAACTACCACCTGCGCGTTGGCCCCCGTTAAAAAACTAATAAACTATCGAGGAACTAATAAACTAAAAAATCCACCGAAACAACAATGTAGACGCCACGAAAAATCGACTCACTTGACCAGTTTGGCCGCCAGAACGTAGGAGAGACACAACGAGAAGACGTGAAGCATGTGCAGCGAGAGGAACAGCAGAAAGTAGAAAAAGTAGCGGTAGTTTCGTCGGCCGACACAATTGTGTACCCATGGACAGTGATGATCGAACGCATCAATACATCTAAAAATTAATTTCCTTTTAAAAGCTGTTTTCTATTACCTGTTGCACACAGAACAATGGGAAGAGCGTGGCGGCCTATAGAACTTGCAAGTCACGCACCTAAAAAACGTTCAAAATCCAAATTAAAACAACGAACCATTTCATGCGCACTATGATCCCGTTGATTTCGACGTTCTTGTAGCGGCGATTTAAAATCGTCTAGCTGACTGTTGTCTTCAGAACTCACCGCTGAAAAAAAGGAGTGTTTTCTTTCTAAATAAAGCTTCAAACCTAGCGGCAATTTCCCGGGGTCCATGCACATGGCCATGATCAAATTAGAGACGACGAGCAGAAAGATGAGGAAGTCCGTCACACAAAAATGTGCCTCCGACCCAACCTAAATTCATCAAAATAATTTTCTAAGGGCAAAACCAACCAAACTTTGTAATGATAGCCGGCGCCAGCATATAGTAGAAACAAGCCGAGCAAATCAGGATCAGGCCCCATGCCAGTGTCGCTGGCAGCAATTGTGATATCTTCTTACACATCTAAAACAAAAGTTTTCAATGATCAAAATGCCTACCAGGGCTATTGTGTTAGTAGCAATTGCCTGGGGGGTTGAGGAGAGGCCGAGAGGCCTGATGCCTGAAAAAACGGGATTAAAAGGGTAAAACGCGAGGAGCTCAGAAAGGAAAACAAAAATAGCTGGGAAAAGAAAGATAGAAGTGAAAGCACAGCCGAAACTTGAGTGTGGGTCTAGAAGGATGTTTATTTTCGGTGCGTCACCAAAATACGACCTGGCGGAAGAGGAATGGTGTAATAAAAGTGTCTAGCTTGAAAAGAGGGGTTGATTTTCGAGATAAAATGATGACTAACATCAGAAATCCTTTAGGAGCTGAAAAATTGGTGTCACAACATTGGCGAGCTGAAAATTTTGGCAGAAAAAAGCACAATTCTGAGATTAGCGTTACTTCTTCTAACCAAACAGTTTCACAAGACCCTAATTAGCCAGAAATCAATCCTTTTGAACAACGTATAAAGACATTAACGACGTTTTAGGGTCTTAACTTTGCGGCGAGAAATTTCGGGCAGCTAAAAAGCAATCTAAATTTGAAAAAATTGGGGCTAGAGGGATGTCGGACGACAGAAAAGCGCGAAAATCTTGCGAAATTCTCTAGCTTCAATAAAATTTTCAATTCCATTTAAAAAATACAAAAAATGCAGCGTCGAGGAATATCTACAAAAGGTGAAAACTATGCGTAATTTGAAAACCATCGAAAACCTAAAAGTTCCATTACAAACAAAAAATAAGCAGCTAAAGGAACGTCTGAAAAGCGTGAAAAACATGCGACGTTAAAAACCGGCCTAAACAAAGCTTTAATATCAATTAAAAATTTAAAAAATGGGCTAAAGGAATGCGAAGGAATGCTGCTTTGAGTAAAAGACGCTAATAGGCGTGTGGGCCCCTAGGGGGGTGGCCAGGCGGGAGCTAGGGGGCTAATTTCGAGGGCGCGGCCACCCAGAAAAAAAGGTGGTATATGGGTATTCGATGAGGGGTTGGAAAAGAGGTAGAAAAGATCCTAGAAAGGGGGAGACAGTGCGTGTCTGTGGCAGGCCATTCGTAAAAAAGCGGAAAAGGGGGCCAGGGGGTGGGTTTTCAGATACAAATGGGGCCAGTTAAAAGCGGCCACCCGCGTATCGATCGCTGCTAGTGGACCGAGCCGATGGGACGGACGGACGGAAGGGGGGAGGGGGAGGAGGGCACACAGCAAGAGCACCACCACACAGCCCACCACACTATAGACCAGGATACTCTACTCATCCAACACAATCCCAATCCTCTTGCCCCTCTACCCAAACCCTCATCAACCCCAACAATCCAACCTATCCCCAATTTCCAGCCTCACGCTAGCATCTACCTAAAAATGCATAGGAAATTCTTGAGCGTCTAGGGGAGCTAGAGGGGATGAAACCCTAAAAAACTGTTCGGAAACGTCGCGCGTAAAGCCTCGAATTTGCTCAACAACTTTGTAAAATGACAAACGCTACACTAATTAGCGATTTAAGATATTAGAGGCTACTTATAGGCAAAATTATGGGCTAGAGGAAATCGCAACCCTGAAAAAACGGAAAGAGACGCGTTCGCCAGGGCAGAATTTACTAAATAACTTTGTAAAATCTAAATAGCAAACGAATAGAAGTTCTAATACATCGTAATTAGAAATTTAGGGTATCAGAGGGACGTTATAGGCAAAATTATGACCCCAGAGAAAGCAAAGCGCTGAGAATAAAGTTAGAAAAACTCGCGCGATCCGCAAAATCGTTGTATTTGGACCCTAAAGTAACTAATTTGACCTTTAAACTATACGCTGATACTTTAGAATAACAATAACGATGTTTTAACTTAAAAATTTAGCGCAAATTTGTTATTCTAGAAAGTTTACTTAGCAAATATCAGCCTGCGACATTCGCTAACGCGAAAAAAGCTCTGAAAAACCAAAAAACAACAAAACCCCCGATATATTTCTACCCGCCTACACACAAACACCAATAACAACCCGCCTAAATTGGCTATAACCCGCTAAAAGGGCGGCTCATTAGCCTTGCGGGAAGAGGAGGCGATGGACGGGCGGGCCAGCGGTATCCCCGAGAATAATCTCCCTGCAATTAAGATAGATCTAGAGGAATGCCACGCAATCGGGGTTCGGAGATGAGGCTGAAATGGGCTTTTTGGAAGGAAATGGACCCTGAAACCAAAGTTCAATGGAAAAACGTCTGTTTGGGGTCTGGAAATAGTCATAAAATGAAAGGAATTTAACTAGCGGGTAAAGTTTTAAAAGGACAGTATAGTAAAGAGCGCTTAGAACAAGCTTATAGGCCTGAAAAACCAGAATCAAGGAAACATGGTCGAAAAACGGTTGCTAAAGAAGCTCTACACTAAAATTTTTTGGGCATTTTTAAGATTCTGATCTCGGCTACTCTTTCTGGGGGTGTCGCTGTCCCCTTAGTTTGCTCAAACGGCGAATCTGGAGCTAAAATTGGGAATAGCAAGGCAAGATCGGTTGATTCATTTTAGGGCGCTGATGCATAAAAAGCAATGTTGATAGGACTCGGCCGTTCAGAGGTCAGAGAGGCGCGGCGTCACCCCCAAATGACCATACGTCACTTTGCGAGCTACTTTTGGGATGATTCTAGCTAATTTACAAGTTTTTTTTAGTAAAAAAATAATTTTCTGAAGTTTTTCGAAGTTCGGCGACGATTTTCAAGCAACCTACGCGGCTTTCCAAATTACAGTAATCCGTCACTGTTGTCGGACGGAATCTCCGAATTTACAATTTACGGTAGTCCGTAAACTGTTGTCAAACGGAATCTCCGGCATAGCTTCTCGATTTTTCACAAAAACGTGAAAATGTTGAAGTCTTCTTCTAAAATTCCTCTTTTTTTTTCTCCCAGACAATTCTCTTTGTTCGTGTAACCCAATTAGGCCCTTCCCTTGCCTTTATTCGTTTAAATGAGATCCGCCAGATTCCCCCGGGTTCCTCAATCCAGAGAACGTGCGAAATTTGTTGAGAGAATTCACAGCAAACTTTATTTAGGGGTCTAATCGTTGAAAAATAGATAGATTAGTGAATTTACAATAGCTTTCAACAGTTTTGACTAGAAAAATTGGTAATAAAGCTAGAATTGGAGATCACGAATCGTTGGGAGATCACAGGGGGTTGTTTTGAGATCACAAATTTTTTTAGAGATATGTCGAATTGTCTATTCTAGAATCGATAAATTAAGTAATGAAATTGTTTAGGCCATCATTTTGTACATAATCCAGGAAATAATTCCCATAATGATGGAGACAAAGATAATGATGTAGAAACGGCGGTTGGAGGCTTTTTCGTGGATTGAGGTGATGAGGGGTAGATGATCGGGGACCACCTAAATAGAGTTTTCAGTTTTATATTTTTATAATTGCTCTTATTACTTATAGTTTAGCTTTGTGATCCATAGTTTTTTGATACTTACCCCAGGCGCACGAACTTGATCCAATTCTGCAGATTCCAAAGACCTCTCCCACCCATCGTCAACGTGTTCTAAACTTTTTCTAGACTTTGTAGTTTGTACTTACCAATGCTAACATCAATATCCAGCATCTCCTTGATCTTTTTCTGCGAATCCTCGATAGAATCCGCCTCAAATAGCCAATCCGAGAATAGGATTGAAGAATGATAGGGTAGAGTAGTCGTAGCCGGTCTCGGCATTTGATAAACTTCCCCATTTTCGGCGATTGCCGAGATACTCACGACAAAGTGCTCCTGATCAGGTATTCCTCGTTTTTATTGGTTTTTACCTGCCCGTCTTCTACCGCTTTCTTTTGATTTCCGCTCATTAGGTCGCAGAGGAAGACTGAATTGGGTTGGAAGTTTTGATTTTCGGTTATTTTATGTTTTCTCTCACTGCTATAGCTTTTCCTAGCCTAGTTTTCCTTAGATGCTTTCATTTGCATTCATTAAATCGCATAGAAAAGCGAAATTGGGTTCTAATTTTCGATTTAGGTTATTTTTCCGTTTTCTATCACGTCTCTAACGTTTTAATTTACCATTTCCTGCCCAAAATTTGCGATATATACGCTATTTATAACAATATTTAGTTTTTAGCGTATTTTTCCAGGCATGAAGTCACCTAGGAAAGCTGTATTCCTCTTTCGTTTTTAGTTCTAGCTTCTTTTTTGAACCCTATCACGTCTATAAAGTTTTAATTTTCCACTTCTCGGCAAAAAAAAATGATTATTTGAGAATTTTTTTTAGTTTAGGTAATTTTTCAAGTCTATCACGCCCATAACCTTTAAATTTACCATTTCTCGCCCAAAAATTGCGATATATATGCTTCTTAATAGCGATAAAGGCGTCATCCACCTTGCTTTTTATCGGGATAGCGGCTCGAATCTAAAATTGATTTCCTTGGGGAGTATAGAGATGGAAGGGCAGTGTCGCACCTCCACGTCAAACACATAGTCATGCCAATTAGATGCCGATTCGGGAGTGAGTGTTGTCTCGCAGTGGTCGTCACCTAGGGGGGAGAGCAGTAGACATTGTAATTGGTTAAGAATTGTATAGTCGCTCTGGGAATTGTATAGTTGTTGATTTTGAACTTGATGCGCTAGGTTTTAGCTACACTATCGCTTGAAGTTTGTGATTTCGAGACTGTATTTAGGCTACTTTTGTACAGAATTTCGCGCTGATTCCGGGTATGTTGTTACTTTTTTTTGTAAATTTGCTGTTTTTAAAAAGTTACTAGCAGTTTAGGCTTGTTGATTTTGACTTTGTCGCGCTGTTTTTTCACTAAAAATCGGTGTTTTCTCGCTTGTAATTTGTATTTTTCAGTTAGAACCACGTATATTTAGTACAGATTTTTACGCTGATTTCGGAAGCTGCTTTCAGTTTTGCAGATTTTCTAGTTTTAAAAGTTATGGGGGTTTGGGTCCAGGCGCCAGTATTGAGCTGAAAAATCGAAATTTCGCGTTTGTAATTTGCGCTTCGTGACCATAACGAGCCTATTTTGTACAGAATTTTATTCCTATTTCGAAACTGTTTTCAATTTTGTTAGAACACGTATTTTTGAAAGACTACAAGAATTTTAGTTTCAAAATTTGAAAAATTTTGGATTTTTTTGATAATAAACTCCTTGTAACTTTTCTAAAATCGCATTTTCCTCTTAAATTTAATACACCTTCGGAATCAGCTTGAAATTCTGAGCATAACGCGTAGTTTGATTCGTCCTCCCGGACTCTCGGATAATAGCCAGTTGCAATGATCGGCTTAGCTAACGGCTACCCAACTTACGCTCCTATTTACGCTCAGATTTCCATTAGATTCCTGTTGACGATGCAGTAACGATACCGTACCTCACATTCCGACTCTCGATAACCAGCGCAATTTCAAACGACGTCTCTTATTCTTCACCAAATCCGTGTTCAAACCATCAACACCCTCTTCCTTATCAAGCTCCCGTTTTGTCTTCGGTTGAATCAGATTGCGATGTTTTGAAAATGGCAGCCTTAATACGCTTAATTTTTCTGGATTGCATAGAACTTTGAGTTTCAGAACAAGTAAGATTATGCCCAAGGCACGAGCCACAGCGCACGCTCAACGCATATACACAGCTCCTGCAATTTGGCTAGACGCGGGTTAGAGGACGGGCGCGCTGGTGTGTCGCGGGCGCGGCTAGATGCTGGGGCACCTGTGGCCGTTCCTTGTTCTGAACATTTAAGGTACCATATGGAGAAGTATTTGGGGGGATATTTTGATAACTTTTCGATCAGCGCAACTCAAATTGGGTACCAATCAAATCAGCACCCGATGACCTTACTTCCACACCAGCACCCCCAATATACAATTCCGTTGTGCACCCCTTTACACGCCCCCCGATCGTCCACCCATTTTCCATCGATCCGCTCGGGTGCCGTCCGTGCTCCCTCTTCTCCCTCCTGAATCGGCCATTTCCAACTTGTTTCGCATTTCACTTGCCCTCTTCTATACGGCCCGCCGTCTCTCTCTCTCTCTCTCTCTCTCTCTCTCTCTCTCTCTTTCTCGCCAAGGTCAACACAATACCACCCGCAAAATTTCCCACCCCTTTTCGTGCTCGAATACCATGTCGAAGGCCACAGTTCGCAACCTCCAGCAATTTCTCTCGCCTCTCTGTCTCCACTGTCTCTATATCTCTCATCCTCCCCAGGTGCTTGGTTTCTGCTCTCTCAGTCTCCCTGGCTTCTGCTCCCTGGCCTCTCAGAAATAATGGAACCATGAATTTCCACCCATATTCTCTCACTCATTGCCATTTATTGAATCTTGAATTTCGGGTGTTGGGAGCTGCTTGGAACCAATATTGGTTTTGCCCTGATCTCTCTCTATGGCTCCTCTCGCCGACAAAACGACCCTTTTAGCTATCCTTAACAGCTCGAACCAACGAAGCGGAGGCTGATCACCAAAAAGCTGCTTTTATTATTGCACAAGTTGGCGCTTGAACCCTGAAACCCCTCTATTTCCGTCCCACCCTTTGCAACCCTTTCCTACTGTCGATGTCGATAGTACTGCTGGTACGTACTAGCAATCTCAAGTACGGTGCTTTAAAAGGACTGGTCAAGGCATTCCTATGGATATTAGTATGGATTCGATCGATTTCACATGGGTACTTGGACAACCCGCCTACAAATAAATAGAAGGCTGCTTGTAGCCTGGAGATAAGTCTATGCTTAAGCCTAATCCTAACCTAGTTCTAAGCCCAAGGCTTATAGCTCAAGACCAAGTTTTTATGTTGCAATCCCAGTCCTAAGTGCTCAAGCCTAAACCCAAGCTTAACCTTAGGCCCAAGTTAAGCCGGTGGCTCAATTTTAAAGCTAAGCCAAAGCCGAAGCCTAAGCCCAGATCCGATTCCAGAACCAAGGACACACGCAATTTCTAATCGAGAGTCGGGATTTTTCATGCTTTTCGTTTCCCTAGCACCCATCCCAACGGCCCCTATCTCTGGCGCCTTTAGTGCTGGATTTATCGAGGGTGCGAACAAAGGGGGTCAAAACTGTTGCTCTGCCTTTAGCCACAGCTTTCGATGCCTTTAGATGCACTTTTCGAGCTCTTTCCCCCCATCGACCCCCTCCTCCCAACTCCGCACAAAGACACCCTTTTCTCACGGCCAACCCCTGCCCACCTTTCCACATGTTTTTTGCGAGTTGTGGGTAGCGCGGGAAAGTGGTGCACACTAGGGTTACGTTCATTTCGTTGATTTTTGACGGGCCGGGTGCGGTTTTTCGGGTTTAGTTTGCCGCAGGAATTTTTGAGTTGAACAATCTTTCCTTTCGCTGTTTTTGTCGCGAACAACACGGTGATTTAAAACAGCAGCAAATGAACGCCACCGCCATACAGCTTCGATTAGACGTCCTTATTTGTTTTGCCGAAAAGTCCGTTTATGCTACTTCCGCTTACGTCGAGCCTGACTTGCGATACCTTTAGCCACATTGCGACATTTTTTTAGATTCGCAACCAAATAAACGGAAACGAACATTTTTCGCAACAAAAATAAACTGTCGATACTCGTAGGGAATGAACTTTCTATTTTTTTTATTTCCATTCATATTTTTGATGCCCGAGCACACGAATTTGACTGCTTGTCTCCGTGGGGCTTCATAGTTTTAGCTGGCTACAAGTGCAAGTTTACAATGAGATGCTTTTCTAGTGAAAATTCAGTTTCCGTACGCAATTTTCCCTAACTCCAAATTTTTTTTAATCTATGAAACGATCTGAGCTCGGCCTCTATCTGGCTCCGGGAATATTCCGGGAACGCCTCATTATCATTCCCGGAATCTCCCTGAATCTCCCTGAACTAATTCCGGAATGATTCCGGGGAAACGATTCCCGGAATGCGTTTTCATCTATTTTCGAATCCTGAACAGATTCCCGGAATGCTATTCCGGTAACCCATTCCGGAATCAATTCCCGGAATGATTTTCATCTATTCCGAATTTAGGTCAATTCCCTAATCTACCTGGAATAATTTTGTTAGGGCAGTTAGCCTACCCGACCAAAAGGTCAAGTAACCATTCCGGGAATCTAGGTGAAACACCACCAAAATCTCTGAAATTTTCACAGTAGCTTAAAAGGGGCCTTCATTAGCTAATATACAAAGTTTCAAATTAACCGGGTAGTTCCCAGCGAAGTTACGGAGAATTTTCGTAGTTAAAAACTGAAACCTTTATTTACTGGCAGAAATGCTATTGAATACCTCTTCATACAAATACTGGAATTTTTCGCTTTTAACAACTACATTTTTTAATTCGAGGAATTGCCAAGCGTTTGAATGCCGGAATGTGCTGAGATTCCCGGAATAGATGAAAACTATTCTGGGAATGCATTCCGGGAATCGTAGCATAAATATTCCCTGAATCAATTTCATCTAATTCCGGGAATCCATTGCAGGTAACCGTTCCCGGAATAGGACTCCCGGAATAGAGATGAAAATGATTCCGGGAATGTTTTTCCCGATTCGGGAATGATTCCCTGAAATTATTCTCGGAATAGGTTCCCTGAATGATTCCCGCAATAGATA